TAACTGATCAACAATCCATTTCTTTCATGTTCAATCAAAAACATAATAGTAAAATAAAAAATGAGAAAATAGAGAGATGGAGATTAGAATTATCATGTTTCAAATATGATATTATTTATCGACCTGGAAAGGAAAATATAGTTCCGGATGCATTATCAAGAGTTTGTGCTAACATTTTTTCACGCAAAAACTTATATGAACTGCATAACCCAGGAATCACACGAATGGCCCATTGGATACGTTCTAAAAACTTACCATATTCTCTTACTGAAATTAAAGAAATGACTGCGAACTGTTTGGTCTGTTCAGAAATAAAGCCTCGATTTGCTAATACTAAAGGAAAACTCATAAAAGCTGTAGCGCCGTTTGAAAGATTAAGCTTAGATTTTAAAGGCCCTCTCCCATCAAACAGTCACAATAAGTACATATTGACTATAGTTGACGAATTTTCAAGATTCCCTTTTGCTTACCCCTGCAAGAATATTTCTTCATCCACAGTAATAACCTGCCTTAAAGATCTTTTCTTCACTTTTGGAACTCCTTTATATATACATTCAGACCGAGGTTCATCATTTATGTCACAAGAATTTAAAGATTTTCTTTTAAGAAACGATATCGCTTGCAGCCGAACAACCCCTTATAATCCCGAAGGAAATGGTCAAGTGGAAAGACTCAATGGAACTTTATGGAGGACGATGCAACTGTGTTTGCGATCTAGAAATCTTAGCGTCCAGCATTGGGAACATGTTCTATCTTTGTCTCTACATTCTATTCGTTCATTATTGTGCACAGCTATAAATTCTACGCCTCACGACAGAATATTCAAATTTCCGAGGCGTTATGGAAATGGAGTTTCTTTACCTAACTGGCTAACTATTCCAGGACCGATATTATTAAAAAAAAATGTGCGGAACAGCAAATATGACCCGTTAGTAGAAGAAGTAGAATTATTGGAAGCCAATCCGAGTTATTCTCTCATACGTTTTGCAGATGGGAGAGAGGATACTGTTTCTAATCGGCATTTAGCACCAGTACCAACTAATATGCCTGATATAGAGAATTTTGATCGTACAGACACACAAAATTCTGGAGTTGATAACTTGAGCAGTGATAGTTCAGATTCAGGTCGTCCTGTGCGTGAAAGACGACCTCCAGCATATTTACAAGATTATGATTTACAGTAAAACAAATAATATGAACGGGTGAATGTGGTATATTCATAGATTATTATTCCTAAGAGAATGTATTACTATGTTACTATTCTATGATATACTAGATATACTCATTGTTGTTTATGACAACGTTGTTGACTTATATTTTTCCATGTAAAATGTATCGTTACTTATAAAATTGAATTAAACCATTAGTCTCAAATGGTTTGTATCTTTTCGTATCATCAAGTGCGGACTTAATGCCTTTAGACACAATCAGACAAGCGCAAATTATAATTAAGTGACAGATAAGCCGCCTGGTGGCGTATAGATCGAATTATTAATCTGTCATAGAATTACTTATATAGAATTTAATTTATTCACTTGACATTGGCAAAATTGTGCGAAACGCGCAGATGAGCCATTAATGAAAGAAGAATGAGATAAAATGTTAATGTATAAATAATTTAATTATGAAAAACATTGATTTTTACTTTTAATATTGATAAAGGCTTAGAGTTATGTTATAACCATTACCCAATATAAAATCTGAATAGTACATAAAAATGTTTTTATTCAACTTACTACGTATTTTTTAGCAAAAGCGGGACACAGTAGATAAAGCAAGTCCACTCTAGAATGTTTTTTACTTACATAGATACTGTCTTTGATGTATGTTCTAGTTTTGTAGCTAGGGGCTTAGCGTTACGAACGACGTATGAATACATATTGCAATGAAGAATGAGAAAATATCATGGTTGTAAGTCAATATTATTTAAAATGTGAATTTATAGTTTTCTGAACATAAAAATACAAACCTCATTCTTGATAAAGCTAACAGACGTAGACACAGTATAATTATGTTTCTTGGATTACGTAACTAACTACAAAATAATACTAAAATAAACACCATATAGGTTCTTTAAAAAAATGTTGTTTAGCAATAAGGCCGTAGGCCGTCTATAATGTAGTTCTTCCTGTAAAAAGTTTGTTATTTTGTTATTATTATTTAAAATTGTTTTTAGGGTTCCGTACCCGAAGGGTATAACGCGAACCCTATTACTAAGACTTCTCTATCTGTCTGTCACCGGGCTGTAGGCTGTACCAGATGATGTATTTCTGTTGCCGCGTCAACAACAAATACTAAAAATCACAATAAAATAAATATTTAAGGGGGCTCCCGTACAACAAACATGACTTTTTATGCTTGTTTTCAGTACGGAACTCTATGTGCGCGAGTCCGACCCGCACTTGGCTGGGTTTTTGGTTTAGTTAGGGAGAGGTAGAACAAAAGTTCCACCATTATCTGCTCTGCTTGCCTTGATCAATGTAACTGTAGATACAGTATGAAATACCTTAAGAGGTTTCCACAGTACAGAGGACTTAGAGATAATACAATATTCTTGTCACCCATTTTTATGGATTCAAAATTTTATCGAATGCATTTAATTACGAACATTTTTATAAATAATAACAAATGAATAATGCTTTAATAAAATTTTAATTTCATACATTTATTTTTAAGATATATAACAAATCTATAAGCCATTAAAAATTCAAAAAAATAAACTACTAACTTGAATTAAATGTAATTTTGTGTTTTATAATTCTCATAAGGGCCTGTCCGCATTGAAAGCGCGTCCCTGGCGAATAAAAATCTAATGAGATTAATTCCCCTTTGCTTTTGTATATTTTTTTCTGAAATAATTTTCTACCAAATTAAGACTAGTCATAAGAGTAATTAGAATTCAATTGCGCCTGCGCTTTCAATGCAACTAGTGGCAAGTTTATTTTGTTATTTAGTTTCGGGTTTCAGCCGTTATTAATCATCTTACTGTTCTTATATTTGATTAATACTCATGCAACTAAACCTATATAAAATAGCAGATATTATTAACTATACAAAAAATACAGGGTTAGTCATAAAAAACCAACAACCTCGTACTCGATAGACCGTGAGTTGGATGATAAAAAAGAAAATATGATTTGTATTCGCAGAATCACAGAATCTAAAAAAAAACATTAAATTTAATAATACTTTGCTATTTGCAAATATTCTCTCATTTTAAAATAAAGATGTTTAATTAGTGAGTTAAGCGACTGCAAAACGACGCTAAAAATGGCGTTCTTGTTCAAAATAACATTTAAATGACAATAGGCATGTGGGTTAATTTTGAAAAAATCTATTCGAAAGATGGTCCCTCCTGTCGTCTGTCAAGCGGCAGGGACATGATATATTTCCGCTATGACATAAAAAGGCTGATTCACACAGCGTGCGACCACAATACATAGATCTACAAATGTCACGACAGTACAATGAAAATTAAAATATTTTTATATACAATCGAGATAAAATTAAACGTTTTAAATCAAATTTTGTTGTTTATGCTATTATCTAAGCCCCACAAGTTTTTGGCGTCTTACAAATAACCCTGTATAAATAACCTAATAAGTAAATGCATCATTAAATCTCATGTTAGTCACTAACCTAACAACCGAACATAATCATCATACAATTATGTTCTTTGCAGATCTTTATATAATATTAAAAAAAAATTTGTAAAATGTATTAGTCTAAATTCAATAAAAACTATTTTTTGGTCAAGTATTTTTATATTAACTACTAGATAATATAATATAAACTTTTGGAAAACATTACAATTGTCAAATAGTCTTAAAAATCTATATTGCTTTTAATATAATCTTATGTTATGTTATATTTCACTGGCACTGGACTATCACAGAATTGTTTGATAAATGTTATATCAACTACAACACGTCTGGAAATTTTTAATTACCTTATCATATTTTGAGTGCAAATTTCTACCTTAAATATAGAATTACAGACTACAATTTTGGAGTAAAATTTAGTGTATGATTCATTTTGTTGTGCTTAAATCAGGAGTCATTTATATCATGAAATTAGTTTCTAAAAAATGTTAAAAATTATAAGCATTAAAGTAAAAAGTTGTTAAATCATGACAATGGAGATTCCATCAGATCTGAACACACTGCCTATTAATTGTTCTTATACCATGAAAGTATGAATGGCCAAAATCTATGTTGTACATTTGCAATATATATGAATAGACCCTAAACACTTAAGCATAATCTCGCAGTGTACACACTGCAGCAAATTAGGTTTCCACTACAATGACAAGTTTTCATAACCATATTATATTTTTTTAAAGAATTTAGGTTATTTCGAGATTTAGATTACCTGTGTTGTTGACTGTACCATCATTAATTCACCTTACTATATAATTAAAATAAAATTTCGTCTCGCTTTTCTGTCCATTTAACCAACTTAGTTTATTGGTTAAACAATTGTCACTTATAAAATAATTCTGTGTTTACAACCACAATGTGCATGCAAATTTCAAAACAATTCTAAAATTATACAAATGATTTATAGCGGACATATTTTAAACTGTTTTTTTTTTTATAAAAAGAGTGAGAAGTTTTAACTCTCATCACTTGGTACTTTTTTCTTATTGATGGTCATTTCAGATTTAATTATTAATGTTCACAACTATAAGTAAATGCGAGAATTCGAAGCATTATAATTATAAAAATGCATTAGCTGCCAGCAGTTAACTGCAAAACAACTCCACTTAGGATACATTGACTTCACATTTAAGCTCTATACCATTATTATGAAAAATTATTAAGTGCGAATCCAAATTATTTACTGCAAATATCATAATAACTCCACAAATACAATTAAGGTTCCCGATACAAAGATTTGACAATTCAATTCTCACTCAATGATTTTCCATGTTAAGGGTCACTGTCATCACTTTATTTCACTTAACTTTCACATTCACTGGTATTCACTTGTTGATTTAATTACATAGGCACTTCGGCTAGGTAGTCGATCCTGAGCAACAGATCGAGTATATCCTGAGCGTGTATCCACCTCCAGGGCACGTGTTGCTGTTCGCAGCGCTGATGAGGGCGACGAGACACGCCGTAGAGTGCTGATACGGCACATAAGAAGCAGATCACAGCGAACACTTGGAACAGACACTTGAGCGGATCCCTGCAATCACATACTGTGGAAATGAGAGAGAATTTGGACCACAGGAGGTTATACAATACAACTAGAGATCTTCCCAATGCTGGAGCATTTTCTTTGATGTAATCAATTTGGGAAAATTACCAACAGACATGCCTAGAAAAATTTGGTGGGTGTTAAAGACAAAGAGGCTATGTTATATCCTTAAAGAATAATCATCAACAGCTAACCCATGTTCCCGTTGCTAAAGCGGTGGCCTGCTCTATAGATGAAATCAAATATGGACTGATTATATCCCACCAACCGGATAAGTGCGGTTTGGTGGGTGTTAACTGCAGATGTTAAAAATATAGCGTTTTATTTGAAATGTAAGCTATCTAGTCGTGCACTGTTATAGGTAACCCTGTATGGCTCATATTTGGGTGTTGTGGTACCTCAGTTGTTTAAGTTATTTCCAACAAACGAGGTCTTTAACTACCATCATGGAATCTGAACAACGTATGTGATGTCTGATATTAATTGATTAGTACAACCTTTTCCAAAGTGCGCGATAACGCCCCTTTGTGGGCGTTGCAGGTCTGAAGGCGGCAAGAGCCGAAAAAAATGTGGGTGTTATATAGAGGTGCGATTTGTAATTTTAACTAAGAGGAGACTTCGACACCGACTCGAGTCTCGACTACAACTAATATTAACTATGAGATTGCTCAAACTCGGTTCGATATTTCTATAGTTCATATATAACTGCCCTGTTTTATTGAATAAACAAAATAAAAGTCATGTCAAAGAATGTTTAATAATTAATTTATTTAAAGTTACGGTAATTTTTAAATAGGTAAAAAATGAGGGCGCTAAAAAATATTTTATTCTCAAAATGGACAGTAGACGAAATAAGTTTAGAAATCTCTAGATTAGTATTTATATAGTATTATAAGTACTGACCAGAAATATCGACGGAGGCCGCGGGGCGAAGCGTTGGCGCTTCTCTTCATGCAGTCAGCACACGGCACGTCCACTTGAGTCGCCACAGAAGTTACATCTGAAATTTAGGTACCGGTTTATTCACAATTATATATTAGGGTAGGCATTTCTATCAATTATACTCCAGCCATCTCAATTGAAAATTTAACTAAAAACCGAGAGATGTTATATTTATTTAGCGATACACAATAAAAAAAAAGAAATTAAGGATTGAATTCATAACAAAAGTAGAAGTGACCTAATATATATATTTTCATTTCACCACCAATATAAGTCTAATGGGCAGTTGCACAAACGTCCATTAGGCTTTAATAACGTCGTTAAGCGCTAATGAAAGTCAAATTTGTATTGGTAATGTCGCTTTAAAGTAAACCATTTTTTATGGATATTTGTGCAACTGGCTGTAAATTATAAAAACTCTTCCATTCTTTTATTGCTATTATTATTAATCTCATTTGAGTGCTTATGTTATTTATACATAGTTAGTCTACATTATTACAATTTGTAACTATTTTTAAATTCTCATACAAACTTTGTAAGTTGGCTAGACTAAACTAATAAATGATCTATTTTTCTACCTAAATACCGTCAATAAAAATACACCTACAGATTGAAAAGCTCAATAAAATATGTATGTAGTTAAAATATTTAAATCGCCACTTATGCACTAATTCGTTAATTGACATGGACAAAACAATCACACAAAATCCGATTATGGCCCTCACCAACATGAAACACACAAACACAAGTAAGAACCTCATATTCAACATATAAAACCCAAATAATAAATTAGAGAAACTTATCCATATTTGAGTCGTTTATAAAGTAATAATCTGTTGATTTACCAAATGTTAGGATTTCCACAATGACTTTATAATGCAATAGATATCAAAACGTCATATCATAACACCAATTTATCTATCGCTATCATGAGTTGCATATCAAGATATCGGGGGTTTGTTAAAATTCAATAAATTTGCACTTATTTTGACAAAAAATAAAAATATCTAAAATTAAGCATACTTTGCCGTATACGACGCATACTGAAGTTCGCTTTTTCGCTAAAAATGATAAGCTATTGTACTAAATCTTTAAAAAAGCTAGAGGATAGTTGACTAATCGCCAGGATCTAGAGATCTAGGAGAGGAGCAAGTGGGCGCCCCCCGTGTTAAAGGGACGTCAAAATCATCATCAAATCGAACTCTAAAAAAGAACGAGCTTTACAAATCTCTTCATACACATTATACGCTATAACGAAACGAACATGCTTCGAAGTCCCTAAGTGAAATTAAAGTAAAATATCATACACTGCAAAAATATTATAATATTAAATCCGGCTTCACGGAACATGGGGGGGAGGAGTTAGAGGGAGGGCACCATACGAAGTTCGTCAAAGTTCATAGCTCAAAAATAGTATACAAAGCAAATTTTAAATATGATAATGAAACAATTACTATCTATCGTAGAAAAATTCACCAGTCGCAGGCATTTTTCATTAAAGATATTTATCAGTATATCAATGTGAACGAATAATTTATAATATGTAATAATTACATAATAATGTAATTAAATCCTTTTCAATGTTAAATAATTCCCGTATTTAAAAACATAAGTATCTAGAGCTGTCATGATTAAATCTACAGAAACTAATCCACTAGCTACTCAAATATAGATACAACTGCAAAGCGAATTACCACTATCAGTCTGCGTGTGCGCAAAGCATAATTCACTGTTCAAGCCCTCAATAATATCTCTTTGGTTAGCACAAGCTGCCTCGAGCGTAACAATCTTAGACTCCAAGTTGTTTATAGCCTCTTGCAGCAAACTGTTACTCTCTGTACCATCATTGACCAGTTTCTGTAGTATGCCCAAGTTGTTCTCGTATATCGCAAGGTCAGTTTCATTCTCCCTGATGATCTGCTGCGATTTCCTTAAATCCGATTCTAGTTTGGAGACTTGTTTCTTCAAATTCTCGCATTCGTAACATTTCGAACAGTCCATACAAGCATCCAGATTGTTATTATTATGAAAGTCCTCCGTTTGCGTTCCAATGTGGCTTCGGTGTTTGATTTTATTAACCGTTTGTGTTGCTTTCGTAAAAACTACATTAAAAACGCCACAAGTCTCATTTTTAATAAAATCGTCAGTCTGTGTTTCAACAGTACTAGTTGCTGAATGAAATATGTAATTCATATATGTCTGAGTTCCGATAGTGCTCATAGACTTGTCTAAACTTTCATTATTTCTACTGTGGTAAGGTTCAATATTGTTCGTATCACTTTGTGTTCCTAAACAGTTAAATGAATTGTCCAAATATTGGAATTTGTCTTCGAATTTAGAAAGTGGAGTGTTATTTGTGACATTGTGTTTGGATATGTTTGCGGTGATACTGAGACGTATCTCATCGAATAGAGACATGTTTGTGGCTCGACCTTGGTCTTCCTTTAATGCGTTTAAGAATGACTCTTCGTCTAACAGGTGGTTGTCTAAAGAATAAAGGCATGATTTATGATGTGAAAGTAGAAATACATAAAAAAAATAACAACAAAGCCCTATTTTTATGTAAGCAACCCAAAATTAATTTGGTCTAGTGGATGATTGTTAGGTCTACTGCGTAACTAAATTAATATTTAATTCCTTGAAATCGGATCGAGTCAAAATGCACTATATATTCCAAACTGTGTTGTTAAATCAGTATGTATGCGTTAAATACATTGAATTTATTCAAATTCCCTCAACATTCTATACAGTCCTATATCAATGAAAGTGATTAAGTTACGCGGTAGGCCGCTTGGAATTTAACAGGTTTCAGATGTCTATGAAGAAGGTCTATGACCTTTTTCAGACACAACTTTGAATTTCGCCTCTTCATTGCTTAGTAGTGAATCTAAATAAATAAAAATTGTGAAGAATTTTGGCAAAATTGATCAATTAGAATTAATAACATTTTATTACTAAATGTGCTGCTCAAGTAGCTGGAATATTAAGGCTCATTTTAAGGTTTCCGTACCCAAAAGGTAAAATGGGAACCCTATTAATAAGACTTGACTGTCTGTCTGTCTGTCACCAGGCTGTATCTCATGAATCGTGAAAGTTAGACAGTTGAAATTTTCACAGATGATGTATTTCTGTTGCCGCTTCAACAACAAATACTAAAACAAGAATAAATTAAATATTTGAGTGACTCCCATACAAAAAACGTGTTTTTTTTTTACTTGTTTCCGGTATTTTAATATTCTCCATACTTTATCGAAGTTCATGATTATTATCATATTATTTATAGTTAGGTACTACACTATTCACAATAGGTTTTTTATGGACTTTAGAATCAAATGTAAGGAGTGTGAATATGCCTTTGTTTTATAGCTGAACATACCTTGCGAGAAGCGACTGTCTGCATTAAGGCTATCTAAAGCTGTCAGCATCTGATCTTCAGTGTAGCTGACGTCTATGGAGCGGTCTAAACGAAGGTGGGTGTGATTAGACTTGTTCAATAGGTCCTTCAATTCCATCTCTAATTGGACCTGCAAGCCAATAAAATATGATATTTAAATTGAAAAAAAAAAAAAAATCATACAAATGATGATTTGGATGAAATTAAAACCTAACTAAACCTGCTGAAAGATTGTAGTTAGCATTTAACTCTTTCGTTTGATATTTCTGCCTTAGACAATTCCAATGATTGTATTGTAAAAAAAAAACACCGAAAAGGGACCTACATTAGATGGCGACTCTAGCAAAAGTTGATTATTGCAGAAAACAAATGAACCAAAAATAGTCAATACCGTTCCTTATAACTAGCATATTAAAAAATTAAAATTTGCAAAGTTCGAAACTTGATATCAATACATAAAAAAAAGTTCGAAAACTAATTTACATTTATTCATGAAAGAAAACCGGAAGGGTTGTCATGGAGAAATCAAGAAAGTACTGTAGCGACATCTAGTTTGATTTCGGGAACACTTCCTTTAATACTTCCTCATTAACGTCAAGTTAAGTCGCTACCAAATGTCTAAAAGTTCGTGAACATATTTCAAACGTCGAATTAGAAAGAATTGTGACAGGTTTTGAAATTAAACAATAAGACTCCTTTTTTTTAAAACAAGGGAAATGCACCGTAAGTCTTAAACAAACACTCAAAAGAAAAACAAAAAAACAGGCTTAAAAGCTAGATCAGCCTACCCGGTGAAACCCGCTGCGAATTTAATTCAGTCATTAAGTATCATAAAATTATATCTAAACTATATTTTGAAATTTGAAAATGCTGGACGCCATGTTGCTCTGTAGTTATGATGTCATTTGATTTTATCTTAATCAAATAAGATCTAAGAAGATAGTACTAACATCAATGTTTTAACGTTCCGTAACACAGCAGAACAAAAATCGAGATTTGTTGCAGTAAAATGCTTTCCGACGATATCTAGGTGTTTCTTGTTAGTAAATGTATGCGATCTCCCTTTACTGAACCCTGTTCCATGGTACTATTTTAATAAAAATTACGTTTTCTTTTATTTTTCATTAAAATATTTGAAAAAAAAACTAAGCATGTTTATCTCGCTTGAAACTTATTATTATTGTAAGTTTACAAACGGAATGACGTCATATTATTGTAAGTTTACAAACGGAACGACGTCATATCATGGCGGCTACTGATTCTGGCGTTTCTTGTTAGTAAATGTATGCGATCTCTCTTTACTAAACCCTGTTCCATGGTACTATTTTAATAAAAATTACGTTTTCTTTTATTTTTCATTAAAATATTTGAAAAAAAATTAAGCATGTTTATCTCGCTTGAAACCTATTATTATTTTAAGTTTACAAACGGAATGACGTCATATTATTGTAAGTTTACAAACGGAACGACGTCATATCATGGCGGCTACTGATTCTGGCGTTTCTTGTTAGCAAATGTATGCGATCTCTCTTTACTAAACCCTGTTCCATGGTACTATTTTAATAAAAATTACGTTTTCTTTTATTTTTCATTAAAATATTTGAAAAAAAAACTAAGCATGTTTATCTCGCTTGAAACCTATTATTATTTTAAGTTTACAAACGGAATGACGTCATATTATTGTAAGTTTACAAACGGAACGACGTCATATCATGGCGGCTACTGATTCTGGCGTTTTTTTTAGTAAATGTATGCGATCTCTCTTTACTAAACCCTGTTCCATGGTACTATTTTAATAAAAAATAAGTTTTCTTTTATTTTTCATTAAAATACAAACGGAATGACGTCATATCATAGCGGCTACCGATTCTCATATTAATAATAATACAGACAGTTTAAAAACTTTCACTTGAATTAAAAAAAAATTTTTTTTATGAACTGAAACTATCCTTTTTTTTCGAAATCGAGAGTTAGATGGCACTGTACTTGTTTTATTGACATCTTTTAATCTTCTACTCAATGCATCTATATTGTGTACATATCACAATAACGTCATGAATATGGCAGACAGCGTTTTCGCGTGTGTAAAAAAAAGTTAAAATTTTGATTTAATTTTAAAATAAGCAAAACGTGTTTATTTTTCCGAAACATTTGTTACAAGGCTTTTATAAATAAAAATAAACAGTTACAAGCATTATTTCAAAAAGAGTAGAATACCCTGTTGTATATATTTTCTCTTAATGACTAAAATACACTAATAGACTTCTGTGGCATACCTTTTCCTTGATGATCTGCTGCAGGAACTCCTCCTGGTCCTGCATGCGGGCGGTCAGGTCCGCGTGCGAGCTCCTGATGGTCTCATTCTCCTCGAGCAGGGCGCTCTGACGGAGAGCGTACATCTCGTTCACGCGGTGGCACTCCTCTTTGGATTTACTCAGGAGATCTTGGAGTGCAGCGTTCTGTTTTAAACAATATGGTACAATATGGTGTTGTACCATTAAATCAAAATCTAATTTGAATACAAGTTTACTTTTAGGGCCCGTCCATCTGGATTATACACCCAAAAAGTATAAAGTAAATTGAAAATATTGAATAAAGAAATAGACTTGTTATAACCAGGTTTTCTCATCAGTATAATACAATCCAATAAGGATCTATGGCTTAATTGTTTTGAATTCTATTAATTTCAAAGATTTATATTTATAGAATTATGTTGCAAGTGATCAAAAAATATAATAAAAAGTTTCATTTGAAATTTTTTAAGAGCTTTTAAGCATGTATTGCTTTGCTTAGATAATTCCAATTACTGAAATTGTTCAATCATTTTTGGATTTGATTAACTTACATATATTAAATTATTGGAATTATTATTAGTATTGATACAATTTTATCAAGAATTAATATTTATTTTTGTCTTTTTTTTTATTATTAAATATGAAGTTGATTTCTGTTGCAATATTAATACTGACCACCCTAAAGGCGCCACCATTTTATGTCTTTGGATTCAATTATTACAATAATGTGTTGATTTATAAAAAACAAATTTTATTATATTTTTTGTTTTTAAAAACATAAATCATTATTTATCAAAAATATTCAACAAATAATCTTTTAACTTTATAAACTTTTTAATGGAAGACAATTTAATTCTTTATCTGATAGCAGTCCAATATTGCAATTTCTCGGGACTAAAACTAAATTTAGTTTTTTTTTACTAAACTTTTTACGTGAATAAACTGATGCAAATAAAATACAAAGTAAGCATTCCAACGTCACCTCAGCTTCCAGATGTGCAAGATGTTCATCAAGCGGCTTAGCACGCCTTCTGACAGCATCCAGGTCATGACGAGTTGTCTCCAACTCAGCCTCGTTGGTACAGAGACGTTCACATACCTCGTCGTAGTCTCGTCGGAGATGAGTCAGAGATATGTTCTCTTCACGGAGTCTGACATAGCAACATAGAAATAACTTGTAGAATTTGAAGGAAATAAAAACTCTAATAAGTCAGAATGCTATTAGTTATTAACAATTCTTATTTCATTCAAATTCGCGTCTATTGATTAAAAATAATTGCATAAGTTATTATTTATACTCAAGTACTTCTCTCGACTATAGATATGAGTGTTAGAGTTAAGATAAAATAACATTTTTACATGTTCACCTCCAATGAAATGAACTGGTCTTTGTCACTTATTGCTGTTTTAGATATTTAGCAACATAAGACATACACCTAGTTTCTGAATAGAGTATTTAAATCATCTTAATGAAAAATACTTAAAGAAATCTACTTGGCCAGGGACCACAATCTGACATGCGAAATTGCTCAAATATAATAATTAAAGTATTTAAAGTTAAGCATATCTCGACCTGTACTTAAACATCACTTAAAACGTAACGTTTTCACTTCTGAATTTTAGTTTTTTTTATGAAAAAAACTTAAGTTATTGAGAATAATCACTTGAGATTTTGTACTTTGATCAATTGAGGAACCGGCCGTTATTTTGTCAGTGGAATTTTACTGCATGAAGATGAAAATAATTATTTAAAATAATAAGGAAAGCATACATATTAAGGTGCGCACGCAGCGAGTCCCGCTCGGCAACAAGCGCGGCGAGCACCTCCTCGTGCTGGCGATCTGTGAATTCTAACTGACTGCGGAGCTGCGACGCCAGGTGGGACTTTTCGCGTAACTCACTTTGAAGCTCTTCTAGCAATTGATAACCTGAACCAAACCATATAAAATAAATTGAAAATATTCAAATTCAACGTCTTTTATTCACTGATTGCCTAAAACTACACCATTGGTTCGCAAATGTACAGCAGAAGACCTTGTACTAAGGAAACAAAAACAAACTCTACATTAGCTTCCTTTTTCTCATTCATACAGTAAAGTCTTTTTCGAACCTTGTTTCTGAGATAGCAAGCGCAACTGAATAAACAAATAAATTCTCAACAAAAGGCCTTTTTACTGTTAAGAAAGCAGGCTGAAGAAAGCTTTTAACAGAGTTAACTCATATTTTTTAAAGAAAATTAGGAGGAATATGAGAATAATATCGATAAAAAAAATACATTAATTTTCAAAAATAAGCAATCACAATAGTAATGGGCACTGTTGGATGACATCATTCAATAATCTCTTTAGTAATTACTAATCTTTATCCCATAGATTTTTATTGACAAAAAAATTCATTGAATTGGCATGTAATGTCAAAATAGTATGGCAATTTTGATTCTAATAAATATCTATTAGGTGTTACTTTTAAATTTAATAACTAATTAAAAATATTTACCATCAGTTGATATTCCAGAATCAGAATCTTGAGGTGCATGACCACACTTCAAATTAAAACTGTAAAAAAACAATATAATAACTTATCTTGGCATTCTAATAACAAGTAATAAACTTCATATACAAATTAGGTTGCTTAAGCCCTTGTAAAATCTACATATATAATATAACACAAAGTTGCCGCACTGTCTGTACCCTGTGATCTTTTAAACTACTCAAGGTAATTTAATGCGTTTTTCATCAACATGCAGAGTGATTCAAGAAGAATGTTTATATGCATAATAGAGGGCGACTCTATTCTATATTTCAGACAAGTCTAAAACAATAGAAATCCGCAATCAAATCAGAGACAATTTAAAAAGTTAATTTTTATGATGCCTAATGAATGAAATGAGAAGAAATTAAATAATAAGCCAAACTAATTTTAAATTAAATTATCACTGGACACCAACATTATGCAAAGTATACATCACATTTGATTATAAATATTTATTTTTATTTAGAATTATTGTTATAATTCTGACAAGTATATCAATTATTCAACCCCTCCATAATAATAGCTCTTGTTTCCCTCTAAAATCCTTAAAAAAGATGTTCTTCTCTCCAAATTTGCTGTACCCAACGCAGTCTATAATGATATTTTCGTTTTTATGAACATCTTACTACATTGTGGAATGCAATAAAAATAATTAATAGATAATAATATTAATAAAAAAAAATATATGTGTTGGAGTAACAAAAAAATAAATAAAAACCTCTCATCAAGATCTAATTTTGACTTCTGGCTCTCGCTATATTTATTCAAAGCTCTTGCAAGTTTCGTTACATTTATCTCTGGATTGTCTTGCTCTGGATCCAAAAGTGACTTCAGGTAACTATATTCCGACCTACCAGGAAATAAACAAGATTCAATAATCTCTTTGGTAATTACTAATCTAAATAAACAAGTATGAAAAAACCTTAAAATTTTCATAAATCATGATGATTTTTATCAAGTCATTTCTAAAATTACTGAATATAGATAACATTGGATGGGTGACTTTTAAACCCAAAATAAACAGACGATAATAAGATTATGTGAAACATTAATAATCTAACCACAATAAGTATTTAAGATATGCTTATACATCTTCACACAATTTATGCAGTACAAAAATAAGACAAAAACTACAATACTCACTTGTTAGTTTTGACAAAAGGCGCAAATTTATCCATTAGTGCGTCCACACGTAAAGTACCGGAGCCTTCAGCGCCACAATATTCAAAAATTTGTAGAGCTGTCACATAATAATCTGCAAAACAAACAAAATTAGCATGAACAGTAATTAGTAATTTTAGAATCAGTTCACATTATTTAAATACCAACGGGTTGTTGTATTTATAACATCAACTTACCATCGGTCTTAGATATATCGGTGTCCGAAGTCATTTTTGATGAAATTATAAATACGATAATTCAGTCACACGTGTTTATTTTGTTGAGCGTTGGTAAGTGACCGGATAACCGATTGTTTATTTTAATTTAGGCAGCTAGCCTAAATAAAATCTGTAACGCCAGACGCAAATAGTTTGCACTAAAAAACGGTTTAAAAATATGTAGTGATGTGTGTTCGTGCGTTCAATTTGAGCGGTATATTTATTATCGATTTGTAAAGTTAACATTTTTAAGAGAGGTTGTAAACACATGTGTAAATATTATATCTGTTTGAAGTTTATGTAGTTCTTTAAAACAATAAATAGTAAAAGTAACTTATCAGTTGCGTTTTAGTTGATTTTGGACTAGTCGTAGCAATAATAGATACATTTGAACGAGATTGGAACATTTGTATCTAGGACAGTACGAAGTGCCGCATAAATAATATATTTTATTTGGAACATTAAGTTCATTGTGAGGTGAATTATTCATTATTTTTCTGAAGAGTATAATACGAACCCTTTTTTTGTTGATCAAATAAACAGATATAATAGAAGACAAGATGAAAAAAAAATCACATAATAACTCAATTTTTCTCGTTATATCAAACAAAACCGAAATCGTAAATACTATAAATTTTGTTCTGAGATGCATTATTTGGGTAAAATAGCAATTACTCGATTCTCGATGTACTGTCTGCTTTTTTTCAATCGACTATGTAACATTAAGGCAGATTTATTTTACGATAACATCACTTTTATCTTTGAAAAAAATTGATCTTTTTTTTTAATTGGATTAGTATGGTTATAGTCTTTTGATATACAGCCAAACTATAGACACAAAAAATATTTATTTCTCACCACAGAAGATATTAAATAATAAACATAAGGTCAAATCCCAAAAAAATAATTACAAATATAGCAAAGTAATATCTTTGTGAAAGACTAGTGCTGGTGTAGATTTTTAAACCCTATGTAATGTGTGGATATTACAGGTCACTCACCAGTAGGCCTATTCGCTGGCTCAGCTGGCAACTTAGTCTCAATCACCGTAAAAAGTGTATCGCATTTCTGCTTATTATTATTATTCGTATCGTATCAAAGCATTAAATTTTTACATTACGCCAGTGACTTCTCGAAATGCATATATAAGGACATCAATTTGAGCAATGTGATGATCCTATATTTTCATTACAACACTAATAGACGAATAAAACGTCAGGATGGCAGGCTTCATATATATTTATATTTTGGGTCACTATAAGATCACTAGCCATAAAGGTTTAAAACCGCTGCTGTACATAACTGACAAAATCAAATAGGTATTTTTAAAATTTATTGTGTTGGGGGTACATACCTAATTTCTACATGTAAAATGAAAATGAAATGAATGAAAGATCGCGATGGTACATATGTACATATGACATACCTATAATGCACTAGAATTATTTTACATATAATATAAAGAGCTATTTTTCCAGAATCAAAAGTTCTTGGTACAAATAAACGGTTGTGCTTATCAGTGCTAATTTCGCCGAAATTTTAAATAGCTGAAGTGGTTGTTATGCTCTTTGGATCGCAACGTTAAAGTTAAATACAGCAGATGTAGTACCAATTTCAAATAATTCTCAATTCAAAACAGCGCATGTGGCTCAGTCTAGCAGTCCCGGCTAGGAAACCGTTGGTTCAAGTCCAGCATTTAGCATTCAGCATTATTAGTGACATGCTGCTAATCAGCGGTATTCATTATTATGCGGATGACAGCACGAAGGACTCCGCCTATAACGGTCGTGCTAATATTTCTCGGGAAAGCGTCATTGAGAGCCGGAAGTGTCTGATATTGAATCTTTGTTAGAGGAAGTCTCTAACTGGGGTCGACTTAATTTGGTCCACTTCAACCCTACTAAGACATAGGTTTGCGCATTTGTCGTGTAGCCCCTTTTGTCGTATCACCTCGCTTTCAAAACATTCCCCTAACTGCCTCAGCCAATAATGAGATTTTCGGTGTCGACATATCGAGCGAGGTCCAGTTCCGTGGTCACTTAGAGGATAAGGCTAAATTAGCATCTAAGAACCTTGGTGTGCTTAATAGATCGAGGCAGTATTTCACTCCGGCGCATCGCCTGCAGCTTTACAAGGCGCAGGTTCGGCCCCGTATGGAATACTGTTCTCATCTTTGGACGGGGGCACCCCAATACCAGCTTCTCCCTCTAGACCGCATTCAGCGGGGAGCGACTCGAATCGTCGATTGCCGGGACACTTCTAGTCGGCTTGATCCATTAGCCCTGCATAGAGATGTTGCTTCCCTGTGCATCTTCTATCGCATTCACTATGGGGAATGTTCCGAGGAATTGTTCGGACTCATACCTGCCGCTACTTTCCGCCATCGTTCCACGCGACAAGACATCCACGCCCGTCATCTGAATGGTTGGAAGTCCTCAACTGTGCGTTTTTCTAGAAGTTTTCAGTCTCGCACAGCCAAACTCTGGAACAGTTTGTCGCCAGTGGTATTTCCGGACCGATACGACCTTCAAACTTTCAAGCGTAGAGCATATTCGTCCCTCAAAGGTCGGCAGCGCGCTTGTAGCTCCTCTGGTGTTGCAGGTGACCATGGGCGGCGGTAATCACTCACCATCAGGTGATCCGTCTGCTCGTCTGCCCCCTATTCCATAAAAAAAAAGTATTTTTTGGAAATACTTGTTTTATAAATTTTGTGAATAAAAATTCTAAAAACGATAATGCTTTTAAAACTATGTATTATGGACAAGGAACAAGAAATGAAATGCAAAATAAAATCAGTAATAAATATTTATTATAAAAATATTCTAAGTAAGTAAATATGTAGTAAAATTATCTTTCTCTTATAACATTCAAAATATCTACGAGACCTCTGTGTACTTTTAGCATGATCAACTTTGTTTCTACCATGGTGAAATCACTCAGCTCAATCTAAAAACCAAAACAATAATTATTTAATTGCGTTTTTAATATAGCCCACATAAACTTAAGTATTTAAAGTCAAGTTTCATCATCAGCCCTTTTACGTCCCCACTGCAGGGGCTCAGGCCTTCCTTATGGATGGTTAAGGAGGATGGGCCATGACCCTCCACGCTGGCCTAATGCAGATTGGAGGGTATTAATGACTACAAATGCAGCCGGGACCAACGGCTTAACGTGCCTTTCGAAGCACAAGTAGCTCGAGTTAATATTTTTTTCAGACCGAAATCAAGATAAGTCAGTGTTTCGACGTCAGCACTTTCGCCTGTTACTGACCTCGTGCAAACTTGTCTTTAACATGTAAAGGTAAATCTGACAAAATGCAACTAGTTAAGATTCTATTGAGATGCGATTAAGAATTGGCTTGCTGGCCGCGCTTATTCGTTTTACTTTCGTTGAGGTTGCCCCCGCATCTCCCGATGGCACTTTAAGGCGTTGGTCCAAGCTGCAATTGCAGTCTTTAACACTCACCAATACCGCGGACAAAGACTCATGTTCAAAGAACAAAAGTCATTTTTTTAAGTTCTACTATTTTAAGGTTCTTATAATTAGAGTAATGACTGGCTATAATGGACTTTCCTATGTTGTCTTGGGGTCTGGGCGTTGTGGTAACGTAATTGTCTCAGATATCCATAACACAGGGGCGTTATCTTGGAATATGAGCTACGTATGTATGTGATGTGGTCTTACATTTATATATTAAAAAAAGCTAATGACCATGAATGTTAACATAGGTTATTCTTATTATTATTATTACCTATATTTTATAATTTTTGCATTCACAATGTATTAAATTTTAATGTATTAAAATTTAATGTATTAAATTTTATAACATTAAGTAAATGTTTATTATTAAATCCATCCAAACAACCGAAAGAAATATTTTAAATCAATTTTAAACTTTCGATTATGATGGAAATTTGTTCTATTTTCCAGTTATAAAATTTAATACATTTAATTTTATAACATTCAGTAATTTCTCTAATCAGACTTTGTAGAGCGCCTACTAAAACTTTTTTACAAGTTTTAAAATTTAAGTAGTATATGTTCAGTTTCGCGTAGTGTCTATGATATAGTAAAGCTTCAAGAAAAATAAAGAATCTAGGAGAAAGTATGTTTAGTTTGTGTATTTAGAATGCAATCCTTATGTTTCAGTCTTTTTTTAGTCAAACCAGTATTATGTATTATCTGTGTTAGATCTTGGGTAGCTTTAGTGGGGTTAGGGCATTCGCTCGGAGTGCGGATTGCGGGAAAGGAAGTGGGTTCGTGTCCCATCTCAGAGTACCTGAAGATGATTTTTTATTCATTTTCATTAAGAATGTAGATTATTCTAATTTGATCACGGAGCGAAATAGTCTTATTAATTTGCTATATTTTACTATATTAAGCTTCATGAAGCTGATATAAGTAAGCGAGTGTCAATACATACCCCATCAGGTGGGTCTTTCTCCCTGGGTGGAAATCGTCCATACATCCTTTCACAAATGGCGCATAAGCCGCACCATGTGCGAAATTTCATCGTATCTTCATTAGACTAAAGAAATATAGCGCGTGTTAAGATGAACAGTTATAACTCGTACGAATTAACATGAACCCTGAGGCCCTATTCTATTCGTCCCTAAATGTAAATTTCGAACAGTTCTTTTAATTTTGTAAAAAGCACATTCGTGAAGATTCTCTGTGCTTTACATGCAGAGGTTCTACTTCCGTTTTATTACAAATTATCGAAAAATTCGTTTCTTTGGAGTCGTATTAGCGTGTCGAAAATAGACGAAATTTTGTTTTCGGAGAAATAGAATAGTTCATCAGATTTTGCACTAACGTCCATTAAAATTGACATTAATTTAAAGCGACATTACTCATACAAATTTGACATTCATTAGCGTTTAAAGGAGTCATTAAACCTTCATGGACGTTTGCGCAACTGACCGATAGAGTATTATATTATATGGATGACTATTGTGTAAAAAAAAAAAGAAATTCTAGTTAGTCCGTCAGCTAGATAATAAAAAAATATTAAATGCGTATTTTTTTTTACTCCAATTTAACAAGAAATAGCTCAGATAACGGGCAATAAAGTTGAGGAGTGGGAGCTCGTTACGTCACAGTTTTGTGGTAAATGTACCATAGCGTGACGTCATGTGACATTTTAACTCAATGTATCGCCGTTAATTTAATACCACAATGTAAAGCCTTAATTTTATGATTACGAAAAAAAAACACGTGTTACATATTTTTCAACAATTTACCTGATGGACAAACATATATATATATATGTATATACTTATATATACTAGATATAATAATCAATTTTATTATTTTATTAAAAAAGACAGTAGTTACTTCTCCATTGTCTCCAGCGCCGTTGATAGGTTTCCTAAATCCACTGTCCTGTATGGTGAGCTTGATATCATCTGGTATGCTCTCCTCCTCGATATAACCTTCCCACTCCATTATACTCCTGAACTGAGTCACGTGTGCATCGCTGAGGATGCCACCCATCATTAACTTAAGACCTTCTTCTATATCCTGTAAGAAATACCTTCCCTAATTTATCAAAAATTTAATAATAAAAGAATTACTATTACTACTATTCCTCCCTTACACTCCCCCCCCGCCCCCATAGCAATGTATGATTTAATTTAGAACTTTTGTCGGCTGTTGTACCGTTTATTCTCTAGTCAATAAGCTTTGATAATAAAGCCCTGATAATAGAATCAATGCAAAATATCATCAATTTGGATATCATTTTAAAACGAGGACTAAGTTTAATGACTATAAACGTGTAAAAATATATAACCGCAATATAAAAAAAGATCGATCCGTGCTTATTGCCGCCACCACAATAGTTAAAGGTAATTTATGCTACATCAATAGAGTCCTGAATGGATATAATATTATAGGATTGTAGGAAAATCGTTGGAAATTTCAACTGATCCGGCTCGAAGGACCAAATATGTAGAGAAACTAATTGATTCTTCACGAGATGTTAAACGACTCATGCAATAGGGATGATGACTATATTTCTATATTTCTTTAGTTTGTTCAGTAAGTAAATTAATGAAGGATAAGTTGAGTTGAAATATCGCATTACGTCACGCCTTTGTAAATTTTCTACATACTTGGTTATGATCTAAGTCATTTCTTGTTAAAATGAAACAAAAAATACGTACAGCTATCTAATATTTTTTTTATTATCTCTGACGGAATAAATAGAATTCCTTTCTTTACTTAGTCATCAACCCTATTGACAAATGCTAATGATAAAGAAAACTGGCAATTAAGATAATAAATGTTAGCAATAAGTTGTTTTCTTATTTCTGTAAAGTTAGTAAGCATGGTTAAAATTTATCATACGATACCTTTATGGGCATACGATATCCACGTTCCCTGAACTTCCTCAAAACGGTAAGATACAGCAACTGCTTGGACTTCTTTATCGTAACGAATCTCGCCGCGTAGTTCATTGGGGTTAGGGCTGTAACAAAAAATAAGTGAACAGTTTTTATTTTGCAATAACTAATGTAGTCTAGCGTCAAGTCGAGGCATCAAACGCTTAATATTCATTGTGGATTCACTATTTAATTTTCAACTTTGTTGACAATTTCTTTGACTGACTGTCAGTTACAAAAACGTGAATTAAAGTTTAATACCGTCTTTAAGTTCTAATGAATGTCAAATTTATATGGATAATGTCGCTTTAAACTAATATCTAACTTATCCTAACTCGGGTTATTCTTCGGGGTATTTTTTCTTAGAGTCGGTGTCAGATGCCGCAAGTGAGCAAGTAACACTTAGAATGTAAGTTTATTGTCTTTTATTTTTGTTTTAAATTGTCAATCAATAAAATTAAACACCAAGATTTTTTAAAATAAAACAATTATAAAAACGTAGCCTTTTACAACGCCATCTCTGCATAGACATTTAATTATTTAAAACATTTGCTCTAAAACTCTAAAAAAGTAGATTAAATAAACCTTTATTTAATTTTACCGTACTTCGGGATTAAACTGGTTATACTTATACTCTAGATTTTTCACAAACGTAAAATATTGAATGATACACGTAACGCTATCTAGTGGTTTTTAAGAACAAATATTTTTACTAAGCGATGAGACTATATATGAGACTATACCCGAGCCAAGGTACTTATTGCGTTATTTATTAAGCGATGAGACCGTGGTTATACCCGAGCCAAGATCTTTTGTGCGTTACTTACTCTGTAAAGCGGCAGTGTCGATGGGCAGCGAGAACTGTGCGTTCTGTCGCGAGAACACTCGCGGCGTGTGCAGCCAGTCGCCGAGGCTGACGGCCGGCACGTGCACCTCCCGCAGTAGCGCCTGCATCTCGCGGCCGTGCGGACGCTCCGGACGGGTGCGCCACGCCTCTTCTAACACGTACCGCCTCTGTAAACACGGACTTGAAATGTTTATTTGCAATAAAGTGGTCACGAATAACTATGGTGTTATTTTAATAAAGAGAGCACACACATTGTGCCGACTTGGTCAACGTACAAATATATAAGTTACTATGTCAATATAATTCAGATCATTTTTCGTATATGCAATGTCCAATTATTCAATTTTTTTTAGTGTTATTTTCATCTTCAGCTTATTAGACTTTTAGCAAATTTGTTCAGTGTCTTTCTCTGTGGGAGCGTGACTCCAGTGACTCACGCTCTGACAGTGAGCCATCTACTCTAAATTACTATTTCCAGAGGATGGAGAGGCTATAATATATCTTTTCTTTTCAAACCTTTCGGGTAAGATTTAATACAGCACTTATTTAATTCTATTGTCGTTTATTGATAAAAAATATTTGCTGTTGTGCCATTTTATTAAATCATTACAAATTGTACTTTTACTCGACCGTATCGACCGGTTTTTGAATCGAGAAAAGTACAAAATTTTCAAACTGCTATCAACTGACCATTAAAAAACTTAAAATCGTACAGTTTGAGACGTTCATAACTCGAAATTCTCAATTCAGAAACGGGCTGTTGCAGGTATAACTTAGCCAGATAATTTTACAAAGTAAACAAGAGTTCAATTAATATTAGCTATTAACAGTTCTTATTTCATTCAAGGTGTCGTCTATTGATTAAAAATATTTGCTGAAGTTATGACATTTACTCAAGTAATTCTCCCTCGACTATAAAAGTGTAAGCCCCGGTTTCCGAATTGTGAATTTAAGGTTAAGCACGTCTCAAACCTTACGTAACCATTTTAAACGTCACCTAAACAGGTTTACGTTTCTGATTTCATAACTTGCTTTATTGATCAGCTGATGTAAGTCTGATAAAACTAGGACTTTTTGCCCTGTGAAACGTAAAAAAACTTAAGTCATTGATAATGATTCAGCTGAGCTTTTTTTCTTTAATTCAGAAAACAGTCCAAGTATCAAGGATAAGCGCCGCGGCCCGCGATCGTTGTCGTTAAGCAACTTTCGCAAGGGTCGGTCATGGGATGGGTGACCAAAAATTATTATCACGAGCTACTCCGTGCTTCGGGAGGCACGTTAAGCCGTTGGTTCCGGCTGCATTTGCAGTCGTTAATACCCCCCAATCCGCATTGGGCCAGCGTGGAGGGTCATGGCCCATCCTCCTTAACCATCCATAAGGAAGGCCTGAGCCTCTGCAGTGGGGATGTAAAAAGGGCTGATGATGATGTTTAGGAAACTAAAAGAAAATGTTTCACGATAGATTTCGGCAACAAGTGAAAGTACTTTTGGAGAATGCGCGCAATCAACAGTATCTCTGCGACAGTGGCTGCGTCAATATATGATGAGATAGTATCGCGACAGTGTTTCACCATATAAATCGAGGATAAATTAAATGTGTGAAACTACTTTCATCCAGAATATGCACATCGCACGAAGCTACTTTAGTGTCGTGTCTCGAAACAAACACATTTATTAAATTAATATTTTTAGTTCTAGTGCCAGGTTCACTTATATGTTGAATACGTGTTTTTTTATTATTTTAGTTTAATGTACCCAATGCCAGGGCAAAGGACTTCCCTAAGATGGAGAGTTCGGGAATCAGATGGAATCAGATGGAGAGTTCGGGAGCAAAAGCAGTCTTTGATGAGTTACAATTAACTACAGAAGACTACCGATGCAGCCGGCGGAGGACACCGAGATAGTAAATTTTTGGATACCCTACGACCGGCCCTTGCGAATGTTGCTTAACTCCTGCATCGCAGACCGACCCTAACCAATACGCCATCGAGCTCTTTCAGTAATATCTAAAACTTAACAAACATTAAAACCTTGGTATCAAATTCAGTTTCGATAGCCTCCTCGTCGACCTCTCTGTGCAGGTACTTGAGGATGTCGTCGTCCAGGAAGGAGTCAGTTTTCTTAGCGCCTGCGCCGGGCGTCTTAATGACTGGTAGTATTATGACATCATCGTCGGGCACGACCGCGATCGAGCCGCGGGAACTTGGATTGTGCGAGTCAGTACCGATTCCGGCAATCTAGAGTTTATCAAAAAATATTTGCTGATTTCAGATAGTCCATTCGATTATTTAACATTCGTATTTTTTAGTTATAATATAGGTGCATTTCCATTAGTTGATAGGGCGTGCATTCAGATTGCGCAATATTTTCATCAAGGATTATAAACCGGTTTAATTCTTGAATCGGTCGACTTAAGATTATACAGATTTTTTTGGAAAAGTTTAAACTCCGTCGAACCGGTTTTAACCGGAACACAAAATTAACCGGTTTGAACATCACCCCAGACCATGATCTCATGAACTATGACATTGTTATATGCGAGATACATGGCGCATTTCTATATAATTGTACGATCGACCAACAAGATTTGTGAGGGCGAAAGTGCTATGCGTATCAATGATTCACGATAGGGCAATGTACATTACAAACATAATAATCCGGTTATTTTATTCCTAAACACTTCAGTTTCGAATTTAATTCCTCTCCACAAACCACGCTGTGTGTAAGAACTACACACCAATGCTTTATAATTTACACCTTATAGTCATTGAAACAAGATTCACTATACATTTTAATCCTAAGTTCGGTCATCCTCGGAATTGGTCTGCTCTCCGCAAACGAAGATTCATCATGCCCCAAGTTAGTTGGAACATACTGTAAGTAGCTATTATTATATATTATCTGGATTTGGTCATACACCTTTTCAAATATTTTAGACTTGGAGGCCAAGAACAACTATTTGGGTATTAAAAAAAATTGTACCTGCGTCTCCGGATCTTGTTGGGTCTGCGCGGCGAGTCCAGCAGACGTCAAGCGGTCGCTGCCTTGCCGACCCTTGCGTCTCCGTTTACCTCGTCTTCTGCCTTCACCGCCTATTAATTCATAAAACATCTGATTATGATTGTAAATTCCTCCTTTGTTGTTAACGCAAGGGAAATACACCTTATGCCTCAAATCAGGGACGCCGAACCACTAAGAACTGCAAGTCTACCACAAAATTAAATTGGACTTGATTTAGTGACATCACATTAAATCAAATTTAGCTCACCGTTCAAAACTGTACTGAACGTATGTACGTTCCATCCATCTACAGTCTATATCTATCAATACAGTATTGAAAGTTAAGTAATTTTACCAAAGTGAACCCAATTTAGCTATACGGTAGCTATCTAGTAACCTTATTACGCAGAGTAAGAAACAATTTATAAATACAGTTACACAGAAACCCTGTCAGTCATCTGCCCACCAGTCACAACTGTTTACTCAGGTACCTGTTCAGTCATCTGTTACTGATGACTGCTCCCCATCACAATTTTCCCAACGTCACAGAATAAATTCACAAAATTATAAAAATAATATTTTAATGTTCAGTGATGAAATTGGCAGAAACATGGGCCGTTTGCTATTCGATAAGGGCCATTCAACATTAAACTTCTGTATGCCTAATTCCTCTTTTAGTGATATTTTGGAAAAAGCAATTAAACAAAACTACAGCGAAAATACCACTTTATTGTTTTTTATTGGCAATAGAGGTACTTTGAACAAACATAAATTATTGAAATATATAAACGAATTAAATTCATTAAGTGTTGGGAAAGTCGTGATTTTTACGTTGCCGTATTGCAATAGTTTGTCCAATGAAGAAAATAATTTGCGATACAAATTGAATATGACATTGCACACTATATGCAATACTGCAAAGTTTCATGTCATTGACACTAACAAGTATGTTAGAAAATTTTATTTGACTAAAGATAAATATTATCTTTCCAATTATTATAAGAGACAAATAGCTATTTCGCTATCATATTTTTTTTCTATAACAGCCAAAAATTTGGCTAACCAGAGTGCTCCTATTGAGCACTCTTCTATTGACATGACTGTCAGTAATAATCCTACTGACATTGCGACAAATTCGTCTTTAAATTAGATACTAAGACAACAGAGGATTCCTCTTGCTTGCTATTTAATAGTCAAAGTAATAATGGAACCAAGAGTTTTTCAGTCATCAACCTAGTGCACCAAAATGTTCAAGGAATGTTGAGCAAAGAGTTGGAAGTGGAATTATTCATGAACTGTAACAATGTTGATTTTTTCTGTATTACGGAACATTGGTTAACAAGTTATAATTGCATTTTTAACTTCAATAATCACCTGGTTGGTAGCGCGTTCATTAGGAAAAACGCAATGCGTGGTGGCGCACTAATTTTATTAAATAAAAAGTTTAAATTTAAAGAACGTAGAGATATAGTGAGCCTATCGGTTGAGGAAATAATAGAGATTGCCTGTATAGAGCTGGACCAGCTGATTGTACTGAGCGTATATAGACCTCCTTCAAGTTTAGTTTCTCATTATGATCTCTTTGAAACTGTTATGGATGAAGCATTAAAAAAGGTATATAGCAAAGGCAAACGATTAGTGATTGGGGGTGATTTTAACGTTGATTTATTAGGAAACTCCAATTCATGTGCAAGACTTGTAAATCTATTTATGTCCTATAATCTTGCGCACATGTTTAAGGAGCCTACTAGAGTAACTGCTACTTCGTCCACATGTATTGACAACATTTTTACAGATCTAGTACCACTTTCAAGACAGATAATTAAACAACTACCGTCAGATCATTTTGGACAACTAGTTAGCTTTCCGCATAAATGTACGTTTGTGGCTAGGAGAGACATTACAGTTGTGTCAAAAAGTATGAGTCGCTTGGAACGTTTTAAAAATCAATTAAATAGTAAATTGTATCATTTGAAACATAATAGTAATCCCAATGATTTGTACAAAGATTTCTTTGATGTTTATTGTACAGAATTCAATAAGATTTTTGTCCCAAAAAAAATAAGTATTAGTAATCCTATAACTTTTAGTGTGTGGGCTACACCAGGAATCTACAAAAGCAGAAAAAAGCTCTATGAACTATATGATGAACGTAATTACAACACAAGTGAGGACTTCAAAGAATATGTACGAAATTACTCTAAATTATTTAAAAAAGTGTGTCGTTTAGCCAAATGTAATTATTTAAATGCAAAAATTGAAAATAGTAAAGACAAAGTTAAAATGACGTGGAATATCATAAATAGTGAAACTGGAAGAGAAAAATCCCGGAATATAAATTTTAATTTAAACATTGATAATAAAAAAGTAACATCAGATCTTGAAGTTGCTACAGTATTTGAAAATTTATTTACTGAAATTCCAGTCTTAATTACACAATCTTTGAATTCCTCTTCCACTGTTGCTGAATCTATTTTAAAGGCAAGTTTAAATAATTCTAATAGCCAATTTAAGTTTCAACACATTGATTTTAAAGATATAATAAAATCTTTTAATCAGCTAAAGAAAACGAAAACTGCTGATTTATGGGGTAATTCCATTGAAGTTTCTAAATCGGTAATTGAGACAATAGCTCCAATCTTAGCTTATATATTTAATGAATGTACTGATTGTGGTATTTTTCCTGAGCTCATGAAATATAGTAAAATTATTCCTTTACATAAATCGGGTAGCACATCTGACCCTACTAACTTTAGACCTATATCCGTGCTACCTACGTTTAGTAAGATTTTTGAAAAAATCATGCTGGATCAAATACAAACGTACTTTTACAAGAATAAGCTTATGAATCGACAACAATTTGGTTTTACAAGGGGTCGCTCGACAACCGAAGCCGGTGTCGAGTTAATACAAGAAATTTTTAATGCCTGGGAGGATTCACATGATGCGTTAGGTGTTTTCTGTGACCTATCTAAGGCATTTGATTGTGTTTTTCATGAAACATTGATTAGGAAACTGCATTTTTATGGATTTAGAGATAACTCATTGGATTTTATTGTCTCATACTTGACTGACAGAGTACAGAGGGTTGATATCAATGGCAAAAGATCCCCTGGATCGAAAATTAAGATGGGCGTTCCGCAGGGCTCAATACTTGGTCCTTTCTTGTTTTTGATTTACATAAATGACTTGCCTTATTTCGTAAGGGATGATCACGAAATAGTTTTGTTTGCGGATGACACTTCACTCTTGTTTAAAATTAAAAGAGGGTTACCTCTAAATGACGATGTGAACAATTCTATCGCTAAAGTAGTACATTGGTTTAATGTAAATAATCTTCTCCTTAATGAAGGAAAAACAAAATGCTTAAAATTTGTACTACCTAATGTTAAAAAAGTAGATATAAATGTTAATGTAAAAGATAAGAACATGGACCTTGTGGATACCACAGTATTTTTAGGAATAACATTAGATTCTAAACTACAGTGGGGCCCACATATTGATAGATTGTCGAGTAGACTTAGCTCTGCAGCATATGCCGTAATGAAGATACGTAGGTTAACTGACATAGATACTGCCAGATTAGTATACTTCAGTTACTTTCATAGTGTTATGTCATACGGTATCCTATTGTGGGGAAATGCTGCCGACATACAAACAATTTTTGTGCTTCAGAAAAGAGCAATTCGATCAATTTATAATCTTAGGATTAGGGACTCTTTAAGGGAGAAATTTAAGGAAATAGACATTATGACTGTTGCTTCTCAATACATATACGAGAACTTAATGTACGTTCGTAAAAATATTAGTTTGTTTTCTATTAAAAGTGATGTACACAATTTTAATACAAGAAATAAAAATAAATTAACGGTGCCTGTCACTAGACTGCAAAAAGTTAATAACTCTTTCAAGGGTCTTTGTGTGCGCTTCTACAATAAGGTCCCAAGCAAAATACAACAATTAGATATCATGCAGTTTAAATCTACTATTAAAAAAATACTTATTAAAAAAGCTTATTATAAGGTATCCGATTATGTAACAGATAAGAACGCTTGGACTTGAGATGATCCAGCAACTGGATAGGTGATTACTTCTAAACTCATTATCTTGTTTCCATTATTATTAAATGATTATGTTATTATTATAAGACCATAGTTTTTTTTTTATCTCTGTTTATAATGTATTGATCTGGTAATGACATGGTTTTTGTAAATGTCATTACTCATATTAGAGCTGGTGAGTTTCTTGCTCGTTCTTCTTATCAGCCAAAAGACGTCCTGAACGAGTGGTAGGGAAAAAATGTTGGACGATTCAAAAGTACTTTTAAGAAGTCTATTTGAATAAAGATTATTTTGACTTTGACTTTGACTTTAGTAACATCGCGTAGAGCCCCGGGATCTGGCACGTTTCTGTCCTTCCAAGCAAACTAATCACTAAGACACTATTAGAATCAAAGACAATAACATAGCGTGATCTAATCTAGACATGAACGAATTTCCAGCTATCGGCGAGGTGTTTTCCTTTCAGTATCCATTTAAAAATCTAGCTGTCTTTTTCATATTCAATCTATTTCTTCAACGGGCACAGTTTATCATATTACATCAATGTAAAAGCGATGGCCTTAAATTTGTGGTAAGTAGTGTTCCATCTTATCCATTTACGAGATGCCAGTTTTGATGCCAACAGATGCCAACGCCCAGCTACGCTACTATTAAAAATGTATACCTACACTTTGTATATTCAAACATACCTTTCACATTCATACATAGAAACCAACGTTTTCAAGTATTGTACCTCCGTCATCACCATTGACCATGATAGATTCTCCTTCGTCGTTAGCATCATTTTCAGTTTTAGAACGATGAGAGACAGGAGTGTCGTTCTTATTACTCTTTTTTATTGTTTTCCCCAAATTGAGCGCCTTCAATTGTGTCTGTAAAAAGAAATTGAAATGGAATAAATAATAATAACATTGGATAATATAGATAGTGAAAAACGATCTTATAAATATATTGGGGTCTTGAATAGATCATTTAAATGTTATGATACATAGCGCTTTCTTTTCCAAAGTTATTATTTTTATTATACCTCAAGTTTCTTAAAAAACGATTCACTGTCGTAAAATAATGGTTTCTGTTTTTTCTTTATTTCAACCGTTGTTAACAGAGGCAACTTCATCCTTTTGCGTTGGCCAGTCGGACCCAATGACGTCATAGACAGAACTATATTCGATCCACCTCTCTTCCTAGTCTTCGGGGCATAGCTAATCACGATTCTCTTGAGATGCATCAGGCTACAATCGCAAGGTGACGGCTGTACGATCGGGGGGATGTCCAACGGTTTTCGTTTGATTCGTCGCGGCTTTACTGTATATAAGTTGTCTCCGGACACAAAAAAACTCTTCTCTTTATTGTTTTTCAACTTTGGTTTATCATCCTTTTTGATTGTTAATAGTTTTGTTTTCGAAATTAGAAACGGTAACATTTTTTTTCACTACGATCTAGGTACTAACGACCTAATTCAGTTCACAGTTAACTGACTAACATTATCGCTGTGACGCCACCGGTTATTAATATTAGTAAGCACCTAGTTTCTTATCTAGCGATTTTAAACGGTCCAGTAATTACTGAAAAGGGTGGAGGCCTCAATAACAATGATAGTGTTGTTTTTGTGAACTATACTGATATTAAACACTTAGTAGCATTTTTGGGGTTCAAATAGAAAAAAAGGTCAATCAAATAATCTGAGTAAATAGAACTCACAATACAATTTCTCAAAAGCTCTAATACTAGAATCATTACATAAAAAGTATGAATTGATTTGGGTGATGGGATGGACCTTCCTTTGTTGCAATGAAAACCTTAACAGATAGGGGATATGATAGTTTTACCGATGTAGTGGTATTACTGACATAAGCTAATAAGGTAATTGATATTATAGTGAGATCTGAAACATATTATTACCTTTTTAGGTGCTTTCACACTCAATGTGTCCTTGACTGGCTGTGCTCTCTGGCTCAAGACTAGAGGAGACGCTAGAGGTGGTAGTTGCTCGCACTGGCCTTTAGCAAGGCGATTATGAGCACCTTCCGATAAGTTTAAAGAGGGTAACGTAGAACGGTCGTTGGTTACGTTGGTCGCATGCCCTGCTGTCATATCAGATGTGGCGTGGTAATATAGGGTTTCCTTAAAAATCAGAGCGTATATCAAGTTACATATGCAGCAATATCGCACTGCCAGAGATCACAAGTACGATACTTTTTTAATAACAATATTGGTACTGAAATAAAAAACATACCTGACTGTGACTTCTTCGTAAGTCCAGAACAATAGCAGTCCTCTGATGGGGTTGGTCTGGAGTGAGACATCTTCGAGAACCCCTAGATTTACCACTAGCAAGCGTAGGCGCAGGAGTGTGTGGTCTCGAATCTGTCTCTGTATACCTGTAAAGTAATTATTAAACATTACAGAGAAGCCCCATGGCGCAGGGGCCAGTATTCGGTCAGCGACTTGCGCAAGGGCCGGTCATAGGGCTCCATAAATTGTTGAATCAGATATTTTAGTGGCTCTTGCCAAAAATCACAAACACATCAGCAGGCTGCGCAATAACAAAATATTCCATACCAAGTTCTTTCAAAATAACATGGGGTTCTTTCTCTTCAGCTACGATCTGGTAAGAAAATGGTTCACTATGCTCACCTTCTGAACATGTCTTCAGTGACGATGTCGTGTGGTGTTTTATTCTTTTCATTTTGATCTTGATATTTCGTCAAATCGTCGTGTAGGTAATGAGCTTTCCCTTCGTGAAACTGAAAATAATTAAACTATTTAGTAAATGAAGTTTGGAATTCATAAAACTTGATATAATAATAATAATCTTTATTGACTATATAATCGATACAACGAATTTTTACACCAGTGATTCTTAAAATATTTTTCATTAACATCTATAACCTTGTTAATGGGTAATAATCCTTAGTCAATTTTATAGGCCTGCTTTATGTTTATGATTACTAACGTGACCAACACAACTTAAACAATTTCACCCAAAACTATCTTTCTAGCAGCGCAGCCCGTGTGGTATACACGATGACCTAACGATGATGAATTTAGCCCTAGGCTTTCCTAGGGATCTTTTCCGAAAACCAAACCGTTTAGAGAGATTAAAAGTAGCCAATATTTTTTACCTGTTTTGTATTATCCGTATACCAAATATCAAAATTCGCTCGGTAGTTTTTGAGTGAAAGCGTAACACATGATTTTGAATTTTGGACTTACCCAGTTATCTTTGGCTCGCTTCACGAACTCCTTGGCTTCGGTATCAGCAGGATGGTTGCACAAGACAGAGCATGATTGATGGAACGGATTGTACAGGCCGGCATACGGCCGCAGCATAAACGGTGCCGGTGTCACTTCGCATCGTAACTCTACACTGTTATTCTAAAAAAAAAATATATAACTGGTTTGGCCTATGGACCCCATCTGATTTTAAATAAGGCAATGATGCTTATTTTGGATTTCAAATTAAATTAATCGAATGGGCGTTATTATTAAACTACTACTTATTTATATATAAAACAAGATCTTCAGAGGAACGGCTCGATCAAAACAATACCGGTTTATGTAGGCTACATATTTTAAGAATCGGAGTACATGATCCTGCATATATTTCCATTTAATTATTGTCAAACCGTACTTAAAGTAAAATATTTAGAGATAGTTTTTCAAAGCACAATAGAAGCTTTTCAATACATATAGATAACACTAACCTTTTGTTTTTCTAGCGGATGTTTAGGTGTTACACTTGCCAGTAAGCCAGTGTTACTCGTCAGACCCATTATTCCATATTTATTTGTATTAAAATATAAAGCTGTTTTTCTCCCAACTTCGTCAATTTTCAATGTTTACTATTCACAGTATCGATTATACTGCCGCCTAGTAACGTAATTAAGTAGATAATAAAGAAAAAGCTCGTACAATAGTTACTTTACGTAAAAAATATTTGACAAAACATTGACAAAAATAATCACAGCAAAGAGAAAATTCTATCAGATATTGCGGTTAAATTCTCTTTACAACTGCTATATATTAGAAAGTATTTAAACAAACTTTTAATTTTTTTATAATTTTAATGGTAACGGTTATGTTTATAAAAAAAAAATTAAAAGAAAGTTGTCGTGTTAGGTCCTTGGTAGCTCAGTGGATAGAGCAGTCGCCGGATTGCGAGTTTGTGGGTTCGTATCCCATCTCAGCGTACTAGAGACAAAATGGATTTTTAAGCATTTTTCGTTAATATATATATACAAATTCATATGTGCATTATAAATTAATAAATTATATCTATTAAAAACTTTATTATATGGAAAAAAGGACACAATATTACGACTTTTGGTCGGCATTTTAAAAATTACGACTTTTCAGATATATTTTTTATGGGAATAATGAAAGCATGTCATCTACGTAAGTTACGTACGTAATGGTAGTAAATAGAAATAACACAATGAATTTTTTTCTCACATATATTATTCAAAAAAATTTACACAAAAGCACTAAGACATCCATTAACCTTATTGTCTAAATAAATGAAGTTTTAAACCGACACGCAACCTCTTAATTAAGATATAATTTGTCTCTAAAAATAATACTCATTTCATCTTTATAAATATCCGAAAGTAACTATGGCAAATTACCAACATAACACCTACAAAGCGAAATTTTTGAAACTTTTATCCCTACAAATATCTTTTTAACTTCCTTATTACGATTCTATAATAATTTCTATTTCTTATAAAGGGAATTTTATATTACAATATATAGTGCAGTAGAATTACCGAATGTGTACATTGGGCGAAAATTACAATCTTTAGGTACATTTACAAAGTGTATTACAATGTGACATTAGTCTTTTTGAAACCGCATTTAAATAGCACTCTCTGCGACGAATGGACTCGAAATATTAATATTTCTAATGAATTCAAAGTGCTCTTCAAATAATATTTTCAAGCAATGAGAAATTTTCCAGTTGTGCCAAGCTGCTATGAATAAGGCATTTCTGCAAATTGGAACCGATAATATATTTTTTATTGCATCGAATAAATACTTTGTACTTGGTCAAAATAAGGCTTCAATTTGCAGAGCAGCTTTCGTGAATCTCGGGTGTTCTTTCATCAATTGGTCTAATAATACAAAAAGTACATTAAAAAAAGACTGCCAATTTATTGTTAATCGGACATGATTCAAAAATTATATTATGATATACCTTTAACTAATATAGTGATCAACAAATGGAAAAGTTACGAAAGTATAGAAATAAGCACCGCTATTTTTAAACAATCCATGAATTAATAACACATCGACTTCATCAATTATAATTATAAATTAATAAATTTCATGAGGTTTCCAAACTAACTTCTTTCTTATTGTGGCTTACAGAAGTCGTCGCAACTAGCAAAATAGTGAGGTATTTATTTTCTGATGAATAAGATCTACTATTTTATAATGACATAAAATGAAGTGTTTGCTGCTAAATATACTTAAATCATCTTGCACCCATATGTTACATAGTGATTTTAGATATACAAATAATATCTAAATGACTAAAGTAACTAATACTTATTAACAACATTTTTTTGAGTAAATTAGCAGTCATTTGTTAACAATACCAGTTTGACATACTTATTCACGATCATAACAAGTAAATGCTTTGAAAAGTTGACTCATTATTATTCTTTAGACTTAAGAATTTTATAACCAAATTGTTACAAAAATTATTGCCTGTTGCCATTATAAATGCCTTTATGGCAACACTTAATATCAAAGTTCACCATGAAATTACAATCTTATGTTTGATATGTGAATATAATTATTTTCATAAACAGGCAACTGAATAGGTTTTGTTTATACAGAATACATTATAATGCATATTAGTCATATTACATTTTAATGAATTCAAAATATGAGTTAAGTAAAATCTTCACAGGAGTAAACTATAGCGTGTAAATAATATACATGAAACATATTTCCTTATCCTTATACAATATATAGAATAAGAAAGTCAATTATAAAAGGCAAGTTGATTAGAAAGGCAAGTCACAGACTCTACTTTGTTCTATACATTTAAAATTTACCATTGCGATTATAAATAAAAGTGTCATGAATGGAAATCAACTACTACTATACTTAAATTGAAGGTCACATCTGTCTAGTCATGTAATTGTTTTTACTAATGTAAGCCGGCACCTCGAGTTCCATCATAAAAATAAATTAAAATAATTATGTAATTATATGAAACACATGACATCACGTCATTCTTCACATGATACATTTTTAATTATGACTAGTAGTTATGAAATAAATTTGAGCATGGAAAATAAGCATACTACATGACCATGCAGCTATAAAATCGTTATGAAAACTCAAGTTAGACGAATATAAATTACATTATTATAATTGTCACTCTTCCTTCGGAAGAGAAATTTTACTTATTATTACACCGCTCGACACATCACGGATCCGCAGGGAACATTCGGAATCTTTACTCGTCAAGGAGACAACGGTACAGGCCTGAACATTAATTGCGCAGCGGCGAAGCGATCACGAGGGCGCACTAAGGGCGAGAGGCGCGGGCCGCCTCCTCCAGTGCTCGCACCTTGAGCTCACGTTCGCGTTGCTGACGTAGGAAGTCGTCGTGGTGCGCAGGATGCAGGAAACCACGTTCACGTTCTAACAGTAACTGGCGCTGCAGCTGCTCGTGAGCCGCCGCCTGCTGCGCCAGCTGTTCGGCGTAGGGCCGGCCCACCGAGCCCAGGAGTTCCGGATGTAGCGGCCGGTACGGGCCCAGCCCTAGCGCCTCCTGCTGCGCCGCCGCCGCCGCGGCCGCTTGCTGCCCTGGGTGCAGGTGTAGGTGCGTGTGCGAGTGCGCATGCGTGTGCGCGTGGGTATGAGCGTGGTACTCCGGGTTGATGCCGGCCATCTGCAGTCGCACCATCGGGTCGGCAGCGAGCGCGAGCCGCTCGGCCGCCTCCAGTTGTGCGGCCGCCACGCCAGGGTGAGGGTGATGAGGATGATGCGGGCCCGCACCCGATACGGGCACGGATGGCGGGGCACCACCCGCCCCGGCCGGTGGAATGCCGAGTCTTTCGAGCCGCTCGCGCTCCAACTGGGAGAGCGCGGCGGGCCCGTGTCCCGGCGGGTACAATCCGAATTGAACCGGTATGGCGCCCTGCGGCGGCGGGGGCGGCATGCCGTATCTTCTGTGCATTTCGAGCCAATGAGGATCGAGAGCTCGCGGGCCGACGTTGTTCTTGAGGAGCTCCTCTTTCAGTCTGTCGTTGAGCTCGCGCTCGCGTAGTTCCCGGATCTCTCTATCCCGTTTTTCTCTCTCGAGGTGCTCCAGTTCGAGCCTCTCCCGAGCCCCTGCGGCGCCGTACATTGAGCTGAGTTGGTATTGGAGCATCGGGTCCATGCAGTGACGCGGCAAGTTGCCGGGGCTGAAACCGGCGTGGGGCCGCGCGTACTCGGACAGTTGACGCAGTGCTGGAGTTTCTGGGTAACCGGGTGGTCTCGGAAAGCGATCGTACGGCGACGTTATCGTTTCTATTGCACCTCTTGAGGGAGGTTTCGTTTCAGGTTTCTCTGGTGTTGCGATCTTTCTATGCGCTTGTTGCGCAATTTTCTCTCTCTCTTCTCTGTCGCGTTCAGCTTGTTTTCGCAATCGTTCTTCGCGTTTACGTGCTAATTTTGATTCTGGGACCGGTTTGAAAATGAGGTCGGTTCTAGTACAAGAATTGTAGTCGCCCCGATTCCAATGCCTCAAAAATATTGCTGATTGTGATCTATGGCATTCTGTGTCTTCTATCTTCGGCTCAGGACTAGGACCATGTGGTATATGTGCGGGACTTGGGATTTCTTCTTCTTCAGGCTGAGATTGCGTTTCAAGTTTTAACTCGGTGTTTTCGTCAGGAATCGGTCTTGGGGGCCCACGTAAATGTGGATGACCATGTAATTGATGTGGAGAACCAGATCTTCCATGAGAAGATTGAAGACCCGCAGCGGCTTGAGCGTGTAAGCGAAGGCTTTCAATAGAACTCGGTCCAGGCCCTGGTGGTAATCCTAATCCCATAGGATGGCCCATAGAAGGTGGTTGAATCATTAAATGGTTAGGATTTCCGGGTATCATTTTCGGATGATGACGGAGTAACATTGAGTCAGCCGGTGAAAGTCTCTCTGGGTGATGGGCTAAATGATGAGAATGGTGGTGCGTGTGATTATTTGTGACATTTACACTCGAAGAAGAACTTGTTGTCTGAGATACACTTGCTGATAAATGATGCGGAGAACTTGAATGAGAGTTTGTTTTTTGTTGTGTATTAATTTTATGTTGTATTGACTGCGACGAACTACTAGATGTTGAATGAGAAATCGACAATGTGTGGTTGGTACCACCTCCAGCATGACTGGGTTGTTTTTCTGTACTAGTATGAACCGCACTATGATGACTGGTAGAATGATGGTGAGTCATCGTAGTTTCGTGAAGCTGGTGCCTTTCAGTAGTGGCATTTGGATTTCTTGGGTCTTCTGAGCTCTCAGATATTTCTCTTAATGATCTTGTAGTCACTGACGAACTGGTGCTGTGATGAGAACTAAGCATTGTTGTAGATTCTATTGTCGATGGTTTTACAGGATCATGTCTTCCTGGAGTGCTGGATGCTGGATGCATAGGTGGTATAGGATGCGGTTGTGGTAGGGGTCCATATGGGTATGGATATGGCATAGAGTAACCAGGATGAGGATGCGGATAATAAGGATGCATGGCATGCGCTGCTGCTGCTGCAGAGAGCTGGAAGATAGATGGGTGTAGAAGCGGATGGTGAGGATGATGTAAAGGCGATGCAAAAGGGTGTGGGTGTGGTGGACCAGGTTGTTGTCCTGAATGCATAACTGGGCCAGGAATTGTAGACGGTATTGACAAAGGTGTTGGATTCATCAAATTGAGTGCAGAATGGGACACGGGAGTGTTGGGTTGAACTGGTGATGCTGATATTTGTCTTGGTTGGGATGGACTAGTCAAATGTCTTGAGAAAGGCGATGTAGTTGCAGACGGATGAGGATGTCCAGGTGTCCCATTATGACTTGGTTGACTCTTGATTGGTGTAGGTGTATGGGGACTCTTCACAGGGGGTAAAGTGTTTCCTGCTTCTGAAACATTACCTTGACTTGTAGCTGGCATGTGAGGTTGATGTAGAAAATCTGGTTCTTTCTTTATACTATCTATTCTTGGTCCAAGGAATGCACTCGGCATATTTGGCGTTTCATTGGTTGGTTGACTTGGTGGTCTACTATTATTTTCAACACTTGATATTGATTCTCTATCTCTTTCTGTGCTTAAATGTTGTGCTATAGCACTTCCAATAGGATATCCTGGCACTTTTACCTCTTTTAGTGACTGTAAAGGATCTGTATTTTGTGTAGATAAATTTGCTGGCATATTATCAGGCACTTCTTGTTTGATTTTCAGATCTTGAGGCATTGATGGGTCACTTTGATTGGAAGGTGGAGGTATAATACTGCTTCCAGGATGGCCATGTGATGGAGGAACTTGCTGTATTAGTGGAGGTAGTGAGCCCGGTTTATCTAAGCCTGGGTGGCTTGAATGTCCAAACAATGGTGCTGGCATAAAACTATAAGGTCCTACATTCGACCCACTTCCCACTGATATTAATGGCCCAGGTGGTAACAACCCAGTAATAGAAGGTTGACTCATAGGAGGTGGAGGCATGTTTTGTCCTGTTACAGGCACATTTGATGGATCAGTTGATCTTGCTCCCATATTTTCTGGACGCACTGGTGACGGGAAAACAGATCTCAAGCCAGTAGTTTGATTTTCATGCTTAGGATTAGGCTGAGTCTTAAGATCGGTTGGTTGTTTATCATCAAGATCAGAGTCTTTTGTCTCTTGAGAATTGGCAGGAGATATTGGTTCAGTGTTGGTTGTAGAAGGATGCTCCATAGCTGGTGGCGATGAACTTCTTGTGTTTGTAGGTGAAGGACTTATTCTTTGTAATGAATCCAAACGAGGTGTATTAGGTGAGTCTACTTTACTAGCTGTGGTAATTGTGGCTGTAAATATTTCTGGAGTATTTTGATTTTTCATTTCACTGGTTTCATCTCTAGGTTCTAATTTGATGACAGTTTTTAGAGGATTTATATGAGGATTATGCTTATTAGGATCTTTAGGGTAATTAATACTGGAGCCGTATGGAAATGGTGGCATGCTGTTTGAAAAGTCCTTTGCATTCCTTATAATAGAACTTTCTTTTGTAATATTAACTGGATTAAAAATATTATTTGACATTCCTCCTTCAATTTTAATATTGTGATTTAGTTTAGGATTGTAAATATGACTATCTTTTACAAAGAAATTTGTGTTCTCCAAATTAAGAGGTTTATTTGTTTGATTAATAGGATGTCCTGGAAAACTGTGGGCCAGAGGGTCCTTCTGAAATTCTTCCTTTTGTAAATTAAGGGTAAGCTCCTCTGTATCTATTTCTTCCTTAATTTTAATTTTTTCTATTAAATCAGTAGCCATTGGAGTGACTTTCGGGATTTTAAGCTCAGTTTTTGGAAATATTGCGCTAGGCATTGTCAATGATCTTGGCTCATTATTATCATTGTGTTTAGGTACATTTGAATCAGTTTTCAAATCTAACACACTTCTTTCTTCTTTTTCCAATGCTACTTTAAATAATGGTGGTATAGCATCTTTTTCTGATTTGATTATTGGTTCTAAATTGGTTTCCATTTTGACTTGTGTTTCTGATGGTTTCATGGGTTGTGGTTCTGACTCAGATTCTTTATTCTGTTCAACATTTTCTTTTTCTGTTTTATTAAAACTGAAGTCACATGCTTCAGGTTCTGGTTCAGTGTTCTCAGTTTCATCAATAGCAGGAAAACTATCATTTGTGAAACTTTCTGATGGACTTTCAGGAGGTTCATCTTGCTTTTTCTTCTTCATTTGTACATCACCATCCATGATACCTTCTAATTTCAAATCATCTGGAAGACGCTTTTTAACTTTTGAAACATCAACTTTACCATTTGCTACTTTCTTTTTAGCATCTTTACTTATAGGTGATGATAAAACTTTATCTGACACATTATTATTTGTGCTTTGTGTGTTTGGTTTACTACCTTTTGTTTTTGATTTAGAGTCATTATCACTTTCATCCTGTCCTTTCTTTCCATTGGGTGTCACTTGTTCTTTTGATTTGTTCCTAGTTCTCATTCTACTGGGAGAGTCCTCTGGATTATCACCTGTTCTACCATTATCTGATTTTGTCAAATCACCAGCATCTCGAGAATCACTATCTTCTTCTGAATTTTCGTCTTCAGTAACTGAGCTCATTTCACCACCTTCTTTTGGATTGGGTGATGGCCTTGAGCCATTTGTGTCTGGAACAGTTGGAGTAGCTTCGGGAGTCTGTTCTTTTGGTGTACCAGCCCGAGAATTTCTAGTGTTCCGAACACGTCTAAGCGATGCTTGCCTCCGTCTTCTATGTGGTCTATTACTGCTAGCACCTGGTGTCTTTTTCCATAAGTAGTAAAACTCAACTAACTCTGATGTATCTTTATGAGGCAGTAAGTCTTTACGAATTTTAAAAAAGTTTTTACCAAATTGACGTATCCCTTTCACAAAACGTTTAGTTTCCTCTTCAGACCATTTTTTCTCAATTCCTTTTGGTACAGGACATTTAACTAGCGCTTGTAGAGCACGACCAGGGTCATATCCTGAGTCGTGAAGCACATCCAGAGCATTTATAGTAGTATCATCACGACTAGCTGCTACACAACCATCGTCGGGAGAACCGCCGTCGCACATGCCGGCAAATGCAGCCATTGAACGGGCAGCTCTCAAGTACATTACCAAGTCTCTATCGGTGGCTTGTGCAGGAAGCCACCGTAACTCTTCACCACCAGGACACGCTTCGTCAGGACCGAGAGGACCATTCCCTCGTATGTCCGGAAGACACGCATATATATCTTTATCTTTCACAGGTTGACTCGGTGTACCCACTTGAACCTCCCCTTGGTTCTGGGCCATGATTTGCACGTATGGTTTATTTACACTGGACACTATTCACATTACACAAAGTATCCATGGTCTGTATATTGCATCCATAAAACAACGAGTAAATACATAAAAACTTAATTTTAGACGTGTTTTAGGTGGTTTGCAGAACAGTAAGTATGCCAATATACATAATTATTAGTCCTAATGGCCTCCATTACACGACGCATTGTGCTTCATTTTATGAACTTGTGTGATACACAGAACATATGATATATGATCTCATTTAATTAAATCATAGAAATATATTCAATAAATTACTATTTATGCACATTTCACTAAAAAAAATGTAAACGCTATCTACATGCAATCTTTTGTTTAGCTTCGCCTTTCTTTGGCCACCATAGACAAACGCTTTCTATAAAATGGCTGCCACGAGAATACATTGTATACACGTTTCGTTTCCGTCATCAAAAAAAGTTTACAAAAATATTATCATAATGATATCAAATTCTATTGTGATCCTTTTATTATTTATATCAACTTGCTTCTTTTAAATAATTTTCAAGCAAAATTTCTACCGTATTAGTTTACATATTTTTATCTTAGATAATTTTTAAGTCTGACATCGACTAACACACCGAATCAACCGAATTCATTCACTGGTTCAGCCAGCCTATTCTATGCAAGTCTTTACTATTTGCTCTTAGGATAATTTTGTCTATGATTATAATATGGGTTGCCAGCGGGAAACTTTCGAGGCGGGAGGTTCAACTTTTTCTTTTAAATAATAATTATTTAATTTTTATTGTTAAACTCCAAGTAAACTTCATTTATATTAAGTACTGAAAGTTGACAATGGGTTCAGATAGTGGAGGCAGCGAGCCTACACATGGTAAAAAAAAGAGAAAAGCAAGTCCTCTGGTGGACTTTTCTGATGATGATGAAGATGTAAAACATGCACCATACTTCAAGAAAAATCACATAAGGAGCTACCCTGAGAATTCTCCAGGCACAGTATTTCCAGTTTACATACAAAGTACAAATGAAACAATTAAATTTGGAAATAAAAATCCTATCTATTTAAACAATATATTCAGTCGGTACAATAAAGGTGTGAAAGAAATCAAAAGAGTCAATGCTTTGCGGTATGCTGTTATCTTTGATAATGCAAAGAATGCAAATTCTCTGTTGTCTAATTCCTCTTTCTTGTCATTGCATGAAATTAAAGCTTTCATCCCAGCTGCAACTTCAGAATGCATAGGAATTATTAAATATATCCCTGTTGATCTCAGCTGCAAACATCTTTTTGATAAACTTATTAGTTCCCAGGAAATATTGGCTGTACGCAGATTTACTAGACGAACTCCTGATGGTATTGTCCCGTTGCAGACTGTTTCAGTGACATTTGCAGGTAATGTACTGCCCGAACGTGTGAACTATGGTCTATGTCTTGTACCTGTAGAGGAATATATTAAGCCAGTGTTACAATGCTATAAATGTATGGGTTTTGGTCATACTACAAAGTTTTGCAAACGTAACATTGTATGCTCAATATGTTCAGAGTCTCATTCATACAAAGAATGCACCAATACAAATAAACCACTGTGTATCAATTGCAAAGGTGAACATATTGCCGTGGCTAGGACTTGTCCAGTTAAACTACAGAAAATTAATGAAAATAAAAGTAAAATAATGAACAGAAATAATTTGGGATCGTTCTTTCCTGCACTGAATAAGTCTTATGCCAAGGCAAGTAGTTCTAAACCTTTAAATGTACCTAATGAAAATAACAAAGCTCAGAATATTTTAACCGACGTTATTAATAACGAAAAAGTACTTAAAGCTATCATCGATACATTGCTTATGTTTTGCAATAAAGAAAATAGCTTACCAATTAATTCTTCCACTATAAAAGAGATGTTTATCAAAAAAGTTACTCATAATGGATAGTAAAACATTAGTTGTTATACAGCACAATATCCAAAGCCTTAAACCTAAGTTGGCTTTTGTTTGCGAGCTATTAAATTCACTAAAAGTAGATATTTGCATACTTAATGAAACTTGGTTGAAACCGACAGATTTAATAAGAATTAGAGGTTATACAATTTTTCGAAGAGACAGTGACAATGGATACGGCGGTGTTGCCATTTTATGTAGAAATCATATTCAGTGTTCTGAAATATTTACTCATAGCACCGATAAAATTCAGACTGTAGCTTTAAATGTTCAAATTTCTCAAAATGATCGTTTTGCAGTTCTTGGTGTATATTGTCCTCCTCGTAGTGGTCGATTTCCTATAAACATTTTAAAAGAAACTATCCAGTCAATCAGATCACCGATGTTAGTGATGGGTGATTTTAACGCCCATCATACAGCATTCGGATGCTCTAACAATAAGCCTCGAGGCATACAGATTTATGATATGTTAGATGAACTTAATATGTACATACTAAACGATGGTCAAACTACGACACTTGCTCGTCCGAATCAAATTGCATCTGCTATTGACATTGCATTTATATCACCTACTCTAGCACCATCAGCAGATTGGTCTGTTTACAATGAAGATACACTAGGAAGTTATCATTTTCCCACAATAGTCAATTTAAACATTGATCATAATATATATGACAATTCTTATCGTACAGAAAAGTTTTTATACAAAAAAGCGGACTGGACAGGCTATACAATTAAATCTGGTACTTACTTTACTGACATAAAATACGAACAAGAACCCCTTCTAGCATATGATAAATTCTGTATTTTATTAGATAGATTAAGAAATGAGTTTATTCCTGTACATAAAATTGATAGCAATAATAAATCAAAGCTTCATAAACCAATGCCTTGGTGGAATGAATCCTGTTCGAATGCAGTGAAAGAGGCTAGATTTGCTTTACAGATGTATAGACGGTTTCCATCTATAGAAAATTATTTACTATATAAGAAAATAGAAGCGTCGAAAAAATTAATAATTAAACAGGAGAAGGCAATAAGTTGGAAAAACTTATGCTCTAGTTTTGATAGAAATACACCAATTAGTTGCATTTGGAGATTTGTTAAAATTCTTAATCACAAAAATTCATCACCGAAAGCCAGAGATGAAACGTTTTTACAAGATTTTTTACAGAAAATTGCTCCCTATCAACCTCCAGTTAATACAGATCAATTAAAATATTTTTTTCAATATAATGAATTCAATTCTCACCTTGCATTACCCTTTTCACAAGCAGAATTTAACTTGTCTTTAACTAATAAAAAAGATACCTCCCCAGGTTTAGATAATATACCTTATATTTTAATAAAACGTCTTGATCCAAACGCTAAGTCTATTTTATTAAAAGTTTTGAACGATTTATGGAACAACGGGTTAATACCTGAAACATGGAAAGTTATTACAGTTGTCCCTATTTTAAAACCAGATAAAGATCCTAAGTGTGCTGATTCATATCGTCCCATATCTTTATCATCATGTGTGAGTAAAATCTTTGAAAATATGCTAAAAACAAGAATAGAATTGTATGCAGAGTCTAGATTAATTTTACCCCATGATCAATTCGGATTTCGTAAAGGCCGTAGTACAATAGATAGCATATTAAAATTTTGCGGTGACATACAGGATTCGTTTGATCATGACAGTTATTTAGTTAGTACTTTTCTCGATGTAAGTGGAGCTTTTGATAACGTTGATTTATCAACCTTAGTTGAAATACTACACAGCTTCAATATACCTGGCAAAATTTGTAAATGGATTTTTAACTTCTTTTACTCCCGAACAGTTTTCATTAAGTTTAATAACAGTTTACATGGTCCTAAAACGGCTTTCAAGGGCTTACCGCAAGGAGCGACATTATCACCTTTAATATATTTATTATATACATCACAAATTCATAGATTTGTATCAATCCCACAACTATCTGTTCTTCAGTATGCTGATGATATTGTGTTGTATACATCTAATAAGAACTTATTACAAGCAGAATCAACTTTAAATGAAGCATTACGTCACTTTCATTCGTATTACAAAGACAAATTAAAATTAGATATTAATCCAAATAAAAGTTCTGTTCTGGTATTTAATAAGAAAAATGATTATTTAAATTCTGTAAATATTGTATATAGTTCAGTAAATATTGCGACTGTCCAAGAAAAAGTGTTCTTAGGTTTAGTGTTTGACACGAAACTTAATTTTGATCGTCATGTAAATAAAATTGTCTGTAAAATGCAGAGGTCTGTAAATATAATGCGACATTTAGCTAGTGTAACTTGGGGAATGGATCCTAAAATTTTGAATATTTTATATAAAGCAATAGTTAGAAGCCATTATGATTATGCATTAGTAGCTTATGGAAATTATATTAATTCAACTTTGTTTCGTAAATTAGAAATCATACAAAATAGGGGCCTAAGAATTATTACAGGAGCTATCTGTTCCACGCCTATAAACTCTCTAGAAATTGAAGCAGGCATACCTCCTATATATGTCAGATTTCGGTATCTCTTTGAAAAAATGTTTATAAGAATTTTAGCAAATAAAATGTATTGTTATATGTATGAATGTAATCAATCTTTACAATGTGAATATTTGAAGGAATTGAAGTTGATATGTAAACACATAGACCATAGGGTTAATTGGGATTTCAGTACAACAGAAATTCATTTGACTACTCCTAAAGTTTGTCATGTTAGAATTGTAAACAATACGGAGTTTCTAAGATTCATAGACACTGAAAAACCTGCACATCGCAAAATTTACACAGATGGTTCGAAGACAGAAAAAAATACGAAGGCTGCATATTATGATTCAAAAGCTAAATTTGGAAGATGTTTTAGTTTGGACATAAACTCATCTATATTTACAGCTGAAGCTTATGCCATTTATACCGCTTTGCAATATATTAGAGGAATCAGAGATAACAAATATTTTTTGATTATAACCGACTCCCTTAGTGTCCTTACATGTCTGGAGAATGTATCTATTTCGTATAAAAATAACACATACATCACAAAAATCAGAGAGCTACTAATGGAAAACCTAGACAAAGAAATTGAGTTCTTATGGGTACCATCTCACTCAGGAATAACAGGCAATGAAACTGTGGACAAACTAATGAAAATAGAACATCCAATATTAAATAACAATCCTTATCTTGCACCTCCAGTCCCGCTGACAGATTACAATGCTGTTTTGAAGTGTCGAATGTATCACCATTGGCATGAAATGTGGGAAAACACAAAACTTTATAAAGGAAATTGGTATGCCCAAATTCAAAAAAGAATTCCACCCAAGCCTTGGTATTTCAAATGGAAATTTCCGTCAAGAAAGTTCATCACTACAATTAATAGATTGCGATTTGGCCATGGCAAATTCCCAGCACACTTGAAGAGAATTAAGATTGTTTCGTCGGATATATGCGAGTATTGTGAGTCAACAGCAGCTACATTAGACCATTTGATTCTGCATTGTCCTGCCTTTAATGTCCAAAGGTTGCTTCTAGTAGATGGCCTAATGAAGATATATAAAGACGAAGACATACCCCGCCTCTTGCCATCGCTACTAGAAAATGAAGATACGTACGAATGTATTTACAAGTTCATAATTTCAACTTTTGATTTAATATGAAAACTTGATGTTGTGTAGAATATAAAAGGATATTTTACCTTTATAAAGAACAATGTACTAAAGATGTGGCTGTATGGATATTTCCAAAGCCGTTAATAAATAAACAAAAAAAAAAAAAAAAAAAAAATATGGGTTGCCGACATATTATCAAACTTTGATTTAAAAAAATTATATATCTTTTCCGTGAATTTTTAGGTCTGAAAGTCTTGCTTTCAAATAATTTGTTGAGACTCTCAATTATCACACAGTTGGCTAACAGAACGGACGACGAAAAGACACGGAGAAACTACTTTTTTACTAATGTGTCGTTTACGGATTGGCAAAAAATAATAGAAAATAATAAGAGTGACACTGTTGTTTATATGGCAGCTCGCTAACTGTGCTCGTTAACTTAACAAATTTTGTATCGTAGATTTTAATACCTCGCTATTTTTTTCTCATTTTCAACCTGATACGAAAAGATACAAACCATTTGAGACTAATAGTTTAATTCAACTTATAACTAACGATACATTTTATATGGAAAAATATAAGACAATCATTACGCTGTCATAAACAACAATGAGTACCTATATCTAGTATATCATAGAACAGTAACAAATACACCCTCTTAGGAATAATAATCTATGAATATAAACTTAAATATATATATTCGAGGGGAATAATTGGGGAAAAGACGGACGATTATATACTTATGGTTTAAGACTTTATGAAGGCCTGAGCTCATTTGTTAAGAATAACATTTTTATCATATATATCTGTTTCTTATATGTAATTGTGTAATTCTTATGTAACCCTTAATGCAACCTTTCAATATACTATGTATAGATTATACAAGCTGATTTAAGTTTTAATTTAGGGATAGTACTTCTTGCTTAAGATATTAATTTAAACTCTGGGGAAGTATATTTTGTGATGTATGTCTATGACTACAAACTACTAGGAAAGATGATGTGCTACTATTTATGTAATTCCTTTCCTATTCTTCTGTTTGTTTACTCAGTTAATTTTATTAATAAGTATAGTTTGTGTGTAAATAGCTTCTTGGATGCAAGGTACACATGATATGACATGACATGACACAGGTCGCTACAAGTACGACATCTATTTAGATATCTAAAGAACTATTTTTGTAGAGATGAGGAGAAGTTAGGTACTTCCTACTTCATCTAAGTTATCCGACAAGTTCTGGAAATTGAACAGGACATTCAAAGAGGGCACCAGCTGTTGGCTGTGGAATAAAATATGTGTGACTATAAGTCTTTGGTGACAATGAAGAAGTATTAAAAATAAAAACATTAGTTCCCGAAATCAAACATGTAGCTACGGTACGTTCTTGATTGCTCTATGACAACGCATCCGGATTTCTTTCATGTTTAAAAGTAAATTAGTTTTCAAAACTCAATCAACAACTGATATTATATTTGTACTTTTTCGTTTTTATATTGATATCTAAGTTTCGAATTTTTTAAATTTCAGTTTTATAATATGTTAGTTAAAAGGAACGGAAATGACTGTCTTTGGTTCATTCGTTTCCTGCAAAAAGGGCGACGGTAATCACTTACCATCAGGTGATCCGTCTGTTCATCTGCCCCTATCCCAAAAAATAAACTTTTGCTTGAGTCGCCATCTAGGCATCTAGTGGAGGTGATTTTAGTGCTTTCGTTTTTTTTTAAATACTTTCTCACTCATTATATGTCAGAAAAAAGGCGGGAATCCTTTAAACGAAGAGGGCGCGTTTTTTAAAACAAATTTTAAGTTTTATTATATTTATTGTTAAAGCCTTATATAAACAGTGTAAACAAATTATTTAATACATAAAACGTAGTACTACGTAAAAAGTGAGCTAAGAATTATGGGGAAAAGAAAGAAACACAAATTAGACGGAGATCCGGTTCCAACGGAGTCGGACTCCTTCGACGAAAATGACTGCGATAAGTATAAGCCTTATAAAATTGAAAATTATAGCAGGCAATACCCCGAGGATGGAGGAAACTTCGAATATCTCGTAATTTATGAAAGTGAAATAGTATCGAAACCTATCGGTGACCGAGATCTTATGGCTCTAGGCGCCGTCCTTAAGCGACATAATAAAGGAATCAAACGCTTCAAAAGAATCAATCGGTACAAAGTAGCGGCTATATTTGAGCGACCTGGGTTGAACAATACAAAATGTTTAACAGAGTTACAACTTAAAAGCACTATACCGGCTACATTAACAGAAGTAACTGGTGTCATTCGCGGCGTTCCTACATATATGTCTAATTATAATATATACACCGGCATTTCCAGTTCCAAAGACGTTGTGTCCGTGCGGCGCCTGATGCGACGCGGGCGTGATGATGACGGTAACCCCATCCTGATCCCCACCCAGACCATTGCCATCACCTTTTCCTGTCCTACTCTTCCTGACAGTGTAGATATAAATAGTTGGTTTTTCGAGGTAAGCCAGTATATTCCACCTGTTAGCCAATGCCTACGTTGTCTACGATATGGACATATTGGTAAATATTGCAAGAATGCACAGAGGTGCTCAATTTGTGGTGATAATCATCATTATAAGCAGTGTACCAAACCTATGAAAGATGCCGTCTGTGTTTTCTGTAAAGGAAACCATATTTCAATCTCATCAGAATGCCCCAAAAGAAAAGAGGAAATAGAAAAAAACAATGCTAAATTTAATAAAAAACTATATGTTGATGTTTTAAACAGTAAACACTTCCCTGACTTATCTACTAATAAACAAGAAAAACAAATACAAACTATATTACAATCAGATAATATACTTAATCTAATTATATCTACTATTCTCAAACTATATACCCAGAAATCATCTTCAGATAACTCATCTCCATTAACATCGGAGACTATTAAAACAGTATTACTTGACACATTTAATTCTAGTAAATGTAATACAGCTAGTAATAAATAATGGATCAGCTCAATATTGTACAATGGAATGCTCAGAGTCTACTAAGCCATAAACATGTCTTCACACAGTACTTATATCAAAATGATATACACATTGCTATTATTTCGGAAACCTGGTTACAATGCACAAAAACTATTAACATAAGAGGCTATTTAACCCTACAGTGCACGATTTTTTTTATTTGAACAGAAAAATAATATGAACTTTTAAATGTTACCTATGTTTATAGAAAAATAATTAAAAAAAACTATTTTCAATATTTTCGGTTTTTTTTTTAATATTTCAGTATGTACCAGATATGTCACAAAATATGTTTAGGGTGTATAAAGTTTTATATGTATATAACTTACTCTTAGCAAGAATAAAATAAAACAGCAATATTAATTATGTTATATTTTAGTTAAAAAATTAAACTATAATTTTGTCAAATTATAGTAAGCATAGACACTATAATATATTAGAAAATAGGAAGAAATTGAGATCAGTAATCATTATGTGTAGTCTTTTTCTCTTGAATTAAATTTTACTCTTTATTTATGAAATTTACATATGAAATGACATAAAACAATTTTTATCTTTATTTGGGCACAGCGCCACCTTACATTTTTCGCAGTTTACAAATGATTTCCCCTTACAACCAGGGAACTTACAGCGTTGCCTAGAAGTTAACCATAATGGGAAGTGGTCGATGCCATCAGTCCTGGCGTCTTTGGGTGGTACGACAGCTTTTGGCTTTGTTTTCATCCTTTCTTCCAGCATATCAAATCCGGAGATATGTAGTAATATAATAAAAAAACTTTGTGGTTTTGTTCTTTTGGAACTGTTCGATAGTGGCGCACTATTATATAACTATTCGCGCCCAAATCAGGTTCATTAGTCGGTCTCAGGTCAGGATCATTTTCAGTGCCAGAATATATTTCGAAAGCATAAGCGAAACCGTTGTCATCACACAAAACTAATAGCTTTTTTTTTAACCCTTATTTATGCGGTTTGTTGGAGAGGTATTGACGTAAAAAGTTACACGCTTCCTTAGCACACATTTATTCGTCTGCTAAGAGCGTTTCTCTTTTTGGGATTTTTTGTCATTTGTTTATAATGTTTCAAGTATTGGTCTTATACGGAAGAAACGATCATGACCTGGTTCACCTCTGGCTGTAAAATTACGGTTGTCATTGAAGTGTATAAATCTACGAATTGTCTCAAAATGGGTGAGTATCATACAATAAGTAGCATGCCCAATTTATGATTTTACAACAAGCGTATTTTGGACTGAGGATTTAATCCAAGCAAAAGATAAATACCCTGGTACTTTTTCAGATTATTCTGAGTGACAACAAAT